CAATTTTGTACCTTGATGAGTAATACGCATACAAAATACTAAACTGTTTCATTACATATTTTATGTCTGAACCTTTGACAGTGCAACAAAATAGGTTTGGGTGGGGTAAAAAATTTTTCTGGCGTTCCACCGGTGGGGTAGCTAGAAATTTTGTTTCGAAAAAGGTGGGGTAATGATTTTTTCCGGCTTCATTATACTTTCTCTTCGGCCCCCACCCCTGCCATAAATAATGACCGGTCCCTAAAATAATTAAATTCGTTAGAAAAGCTTGTTTATTCTTGCCCAGTCCCCCGCGCAGACTCCTTACGTAATTTCTATATTTTGGTTGACAAAAAACTTTCGGGTTAATTGATTGAAATATGTCAATTTCCCTAAATGTCAACTTGATCGCTAGAGTTTGGCAATTTTGGTTTTGACCATTTTAAAGTATGTCGGCCTCCCCCCTTCCCCCCATGATCAATGTTGGAAAAAGTGGGTTGAATTTTCTCTTTTCAGTCATTCACACAACATTGAATTGGGAGTGAGGGGGGCATTTATGCGGTTGTCTCAATAATTTTTGCTCCTGATTGTAGGTTGTTGTGGTATTGGAAAAATTCGATATATCAATATTGAAAACAAAATATTGAAAATATTGACAATGACATGGCCAAGTGGTTAGCGCACTTGCCTTTCACCTCTAAGGCCACAGGTTCAAGTCTCAGTGAGAACTTTCTCAATGCAACTCGAACCCAGTCCTCATGTGAAAAGAGTAAAAAGTCAACGCTCTGCCGAAAGTCGTTTTCTCCGGGTATTCCAGTTTCCTCCCACAGGGAAAGTTGACAGGGTGGGTTAGGTAAAAGGGCCCTGCCCTAGTAGGCAAAGCTAAATAAATAAACAAACAGCAAAATAAATGTATACCAATGTCAAAAACAGAAAAAAAAACAAAGTTGTGTGAAACTAATTGAATATCAAAGGTTTATTTACTACAATATGGTCATTTTATGAATGTTAAAAAGATTTTTACTTCAATCTCTCACATGACAACATTCACTGCACATAATCTAAAAAGTAGTAAAACGTTTTTCTAGGCTACCTGCTTTAAGAACTAGTGAACTACTACGAATACGATGTTTACAAATTGAAATATTTTTCAAATAGCCTGCAATATGCGCAATATGCCGTATGAGCTTTCACCATTACTCCATGTATTGATATGGTTACTGATGTATTATGTCTTTTTCAATTTCCCGCGAAAGGATTTTACTCAATTTAGTAGTGTGAATGGTCAAAATCGGTGACCATGATTTAAATACAAAAAGTAAATGAAAAGTAATTTTGAAAGTAATTGGTAATTAATTACTTTTTGAAAAGTAATTAGTACATGGTAATTAATTACTTTTTCTAGTAAAGTAATTTGTAATCTAATCAATTACTTTTTAGGAGAAGTAATTGTAATTTCTACTCATTACTTTTTTCAGTAATTCTTACAACACTGCTCATTACTATCTGCCCACTTTACTAAAACGTCTCTCAGTTGGAGCACTGCTAGCTGGAATTGCAGGTATCGTCGGGCATACTGCGACAGGAGAGGAAAATCGTTTTGCCCATGTGTGTTTTCTAGCCTTTACTGGGAAATAATTTTGATAAAACTTTCAATATTTTTTTCTATTTTCAGTATTCGAAAAATTGAATATCGATATTTTTGAAATTTCGATATTTATTGACTATATCGATATACTACTGTATACTAGTTTTCTGGTACACTGTAGTTCCCCCCAAATATATACAGTATATCTGAGCTATTCTGCTAGTGGATAACTGAGTTAGTGTAGGTTGAGCCTGTGGTAAGTATGTAATATAAAGAGTGCCGCCCTCGAACGCCAAACTCAAATAAGCGCCACATTACCAACACTAAAAATTTAAAGAGTAAATATGGTGTGTAACCTAAGATTTTCTATACTCTGCATGGTCATGATTCTAGCACATTGGTGTGTTTGCTGTTGACATCCATTTTGTGATTTAGCCTACATGTACATGTAAAATATTATCTTCAGGACCTACATTTGGTAAATGTGAGAATACCTCAATGTCATTATTTTTTTTCTTAAATGTGATGTTGTTGACCTTGGCACACCACATACATCCAGTGTGTCATTAGTGTCCACCATAGCTTTCATGATATGTTGTTCCCTGGATTCTCAAGGCCAGGACACACTGGATGCAATTTGACAACATGGCGTGATTTTTCAGTCTTTGGAAGTTAATAAAACAGCCAATGAAATTGTAGACCAAATAACTCTAAATGTTATGGCACTTCTACATCTTTGAAAAACTTAAACCAGGATCAAAGTTATTGGTCAGCGAAAATTGAAAAATCACGCTGCATTGTCGAATCACGTCTGGTGTGTCTGGGCCTTAACAGCCCAAGTTAACTTAAAGGCTCGGAGCTTAGGGAGCTACAACTTTGTTTATAATGCAATGGATACAAACTAGTATATCAGATGTCAAGATGCTCATGTATAAACAGGGTCTGCCTCAACATTTTAATATGCCCAGTATTTATGAGTACTTGGAAAAAAACAGAGAATTAATTATAAACCGTAAATGTGGGTTAACAATATAAACGATCTCGATGTGTATAAGATTATTAAGATATATTATATAGTTATATTGTTAATAGGTAATCTATGTATTAAAACACCACAATGTCAACACCTCGTGAGTCCTTGTCTTATAGTGCGGCGCAGATCGCAAGAGAACGTTCTAGTATAAACATATACACCTTCTCGCATTGTAAATCGCATAAATAATAATTTGTTTTAAGCTTACCTGAAGGAATGTTAGTTTATTCCGTTTCTCGATCAAGGAGTAAAACAGAGGAACGCTTTTAAATATTTTATTAACCGTATAAAATGGTCATGGCCTCATCGGTACTATTTATATCCGAAGCTTTCGTGTCTGATCCGGCAGCCTTACCGGAACAAAACTAGCATATGAAAACAAAGACAATAGCCAAATTTAACGACGTCGTTGGTGCATATTGCAAGAAAGCAAAATTAAAAACGCAAATCAGTAATGCAAATATGCAAAAATATGCAATGTTTTATTATTAAAACACGAAACAAATGGCACAGCAAGCAAAAGGTCACTCACAGCGCTCGCAGTTGTCGCTGTTTGCTCGGGTTCCGATGTTTTCCGAAACTGAGCTCTTACATCTGCTCTTGCATTGGATTGATATCACTTTGAACGCCCAGGGCGTCCAAGGCCCGAAAATTTTAAGTTAAGTTGAATATTTTCAACTTCAAATTTTTCTTTCCGCGGAAAATTTTCTTGGGTGGAAATGGGCCTTATCCTGGCAGGATAATCCTGGCAGTGAAACAGGAATTTTTGCATAATTTTAATTATTTTAAATTTATTTTCAAGAATTTAAAGGATTCCAAGGAAGGATTAGAGGCCCACTAGAGTATTAAACTGCAATTAGAATATGGACTTACGATATGGGACGACGACGGCTATTCATACAATGAGATTCATAATATTGAAGGAAAAATGAATAATTAACATCCCACGGGAGTTTGAGACGTCGACGTAGAGTTTATCTGTTGGTCGAGTGTCAAAGGTTAAATGTCGCGGGTGAGGGTAAAATGTCGAGGGTAAGAAGACTATACTAGGAGTTACTATCGCAAGGAAAGTGCTGCCTTTTTTGCCACATGAACTGAATGCAAAACCACTCTAAAGGGGAGTTTACTTTTGACCCAATGAACTTATTCTTAAATTGCGTGCACAGAACATGAGTAAATAACCAACATGAAAAAGTTGCCATTGGGTCAAAAGTGGATAAACGGCATACCCATTAGCTGACAATGCACCCCACTTTAGTATTAACTCTGTCTAACGCCAGACCATTTTACTTGTCAGTTGTAGAGTACTGTCTGTATCTGCTAATGTCTCTTATTAACCGCCATTGGCTGGCAATGCGTCATACTTTAGTAGTTACTGCCTATCCACTACCTGTAGGAAGCAATTTTGTATTGGGGGAGCTGATAAGTCAGGGGCGATTATTAGGTAATTATATCCCTCTCAAACTTCACAGATTATCATCGCTAGTTTACAAGACCCCAGACCCCCGGTTGCTATGGTCCTGCTATCAACGCCAGACAATTTTACTCGTCAGTGCCAGTAAACGACTTAATTTTTCGTCATCCCAATTTAAATTTTTACGATTTTTGTCGTTTCTAATTGTAGATTTTAACTTTAAAATATAGTGAATTCTGAAAATCAAGATTAAGATATTACAATTTATATTTAAAAAATCTAAATTTACGAAAACATTACTGAAATGTTTCATGTTTGATCAGTAATACCCCCGCCCCAATCTTGATCCATCCCGTCACTGGGCCTGGGCCTCATCAGACGTTGCTCATTCGTCGTCCTTTTCAAGACCTCAGCACGTCGCTGGAGTCAATATGAGTAAAATAATATATAATAACTCCTTGTATTAAAGCGCTTTCATATAGGAAGTTTCGTTTGAATAGGGCGAGTAGAAATATTTATTTTAAATTTTTCAAAATATAGAGTTTTTACTCGCACGCGCACGCCACGTGTATGCTTGGCCATATATAGCCCGATGCACGTGCAAACCATGCCACTGGGAGTACTTTGACCTGTAGAATCGATTCCCGGTTTTTCCAAACCCCTAGAATGCAAACAGCTGTTTTGATGTACGTTTCACCACGGTTTCACGGGCCGTGCTAAAATATAAATATTCTGTAAATACCGAAATAAAAGATGCAAGCTTGAAAATAACACTGTGAATAGTGTTTTGGATTCTGGTTCGAATGAGACTATTACGAAAAAGATATGTCCAAAGGGGCCGAAGTTATGTTCGGCGAAATGTATGGCTAGTTTACATTGTTCGTTTATATATAATGAAATATGATACCATACCTTACTTGTTAAAATTCGCGTCGTACTATTATTATTAATATTAGGCAAATGAGAACCATGCCAATGCCATAAGTCTTTTAGTTCTTGTTATTTTAAACGCACGCTTTATCTTTACTACCACAACGTTTTTCGCGCGGATTATATTTCGCGCAGTGCTAAAATTTGCTCACCCAGCGCTGCGCGAATTCTAGTACTGCGCGAATTTTAATACTGTAAGACATATTGTGCCATTGTGGACATTTGACTAATGTCAAAATAAAATTATAATGACAATACATTACTCGACTTTGAACAAACAATAGTTTATAAATTCTTAAACTCTTTCATATACATAGTAGCCAGCGATTTGTAGTAGGTAGCCATAAAGTAGGTAGCTGGTAGCATGACTAGCATGAACCCAGGCTGTTACCCTCGATATTTGCAACTTTATTAAACCGGTTCATCACATCGATAAATAAACACTAAGTATATGAACTAAACATACAGATATTACCACTTTATGTACTGAAAATTTCGGGTGAAACACTTAAAAGACACATATTTGAGTAGCCTGCTCGCATCATTGAAGAACATTTTGTTGAACAACCCCCTCATTTTACAAACCAATGAGCCCCCTGGAATGCCGAAATCTCCACCGAGTGAATCGCTATTCGACTATACATAACTCGGCTGCGGGGACTGGACACGAAAAAGCAAGAACGTCATGTAACGTTAAGAATAGTGCGCTGCCGAGCTGAGGTGAAGCGCTTTGGATCTTCTCGACGCTTTGGATAAGGAACGTCTACGTGATCTTCTTAAGGACGTCTACGTGATCTTCCCGGCAGTATTGTTATATGAGCACTTTTAAACCAACTATAAATCAAACCAAAAACTTCCACGTACATATACTGCATGGCGTATTTTGCCGCATAAATGTGTGTTTCACGCACATAAACGCATACTGGTATACTACGCGGCCTAGTTTGCGTTTTAAATGTACTAATATGCCATAGAGTAGTGGAGTTTATTACCCCTTAATTTATGTAGCCAAACGGGTTCGACGGCTTTGCGTCCTCATGCATTTGCATGCAGCCGTGTAGAGTAGATAGCAATAAAAAGACTAACAAAATCAGTTATATACTAAGAAGTGCTCTCAACTTGATATAGCCTTTATTATATAGAAGACGCTCCAATATAAACGCTTTCCAGATTTTCTTGAGTGAACACGAAACAGTAGTGAGAAGATCACGTAGACGTCATCGATATTTCCTTATCCGAAGCGGTTACCTGACCTTAATCACTTAATATAGTATTTTTTTGCGATTTCTTCACCCTTGACATTTACCCTCGACATCAGAGCCTCGACATGTAATAGTCGATATTTAACCCTCGAGTTTAGGGAGTGGTCATTATTTATGGGGAGAGGGGTTGGGAAATGGGAGGGGGGGGGGAAACGAAGTTTTACCCTTATAAATAGGGGGGTCAAAAAGTTTTAACACAGAGAAAGGAGGGGGGGTCATAAAAGTTTTTGAACTTAAATACCATGTCTAGAGTTCTGATTTCTATAATCACAAATAGCAAAAAAGAAGACTCTGAAAATGCTATTTCCAACGATCTAGAGACTCAAAATTTTCAAAATTTCCCTGCTCGGCGCCAACCATGGTAGCGCCTCGTGATCGTGGGAGTCGGGCCCACTAAGTTTAACAAGCTTTCTACCCCCTGAGTGACCCAGTTGTGGTATTTACACAAACATACCATGCAAGTACACTTAACTGATCAGATTTGGTCTATCAACACACAATGTAACGCTGTATATCCAAAAATCTGTTTCAGAAAATGCTCACATTTCAATTCTAGGGGTGGAAAAATACAAAAAAATTTCTGGGGGAGAATACCCCCAGACCCCCCTACTAGTACATACGATACCACACCAAACTTTTTGTCACCAACAACCATCTGTCATCTCTCCACACTCAATATAGTATGGTCCCTTTTTGTAGTTGCCCACCCCCCAGACAAGTTCTTAAAAAAACCCTGTGTTCAAATCATTTCGCTGTATGAAGACAGGTCATGGGTTAGGGTCATGGTAGGACAAATGTTGCATTAAATGGCAAAGTAGCAACACATAATATATATTTTTTAATCATATATGGTTGAATCGTATTCACCAGGGTAAAACATCATGAGATAGATTAAACCGATTGTCCTAATATCTAACTTTACCTGCAACGCACACCTGTTTCATTGCTGTTAATTTTTCAATCCACACTGGGGGGGGGGTCAGAAAAGTTTCTACTTTTATGAGGGGGGAGGCACAAAAAGTTTGCCTTCAGTCTGGAGGGGGGGTCAAAAAAGTTTTCAATCCTTATTTTCCCCATTTCCCAAACCCCCCTCCCCATAAATAATGACCACTCCCTAAGGTGCTACATCACAGAATAGATGGCTACACTCAGTACAAAGAGCGAAAAATTGCATCAGATCTGTATCAGATCAATAAAGCATAAACAACTATTAAACAGAAGCGGGTAAACGTTTGTATGGCGTTTACGAAGAAAGAAACTTGCGAGACTAAAGAAATCAGTTGAGTCAGAGCTCCTTATATAAATAAGAAAGACAAGGAGATAGCCAACGTGTTATCGCAAATCACTTAATTGGCTCGCCAACAAGCTTTATGCAATAGAAGAAAAAAGCAAGGAGGTACATGTAGCCAACGTGTACATTCACAGACCTTGTCCTTGTCTTTGTTTACTGTCTAGCACAACGCCGTTGTCAACGGTGCAAACTCGTGTTCAGTGCAACGATAACTCTACCAGATCTTACGAGAATCAATCTGTAGTACTCTGTAGTACACAGAACTGTGTCAAAGTGATATTTATATTCAACACATGCGAAAAGCTGAAAATAAACACATGTCACACTGGGAAAAGTCAAAGGTCAATGAGACTTGTTATTGTGAACATGTCACAATAAAGTTAAAATGTGGAAGCGGATGGAGCGGATCCACGGAACGGATATGTGTATAAAATACGGAACGGATGAGGATAAAATGCGTCTTTTAAGGATGTAACGACGTAGTGCTTATTATTCATAACATATCTTATACAGCTATTTCAATTATAGTTTATTAGATAAATTTAGCATAGCAGTAGCCTTGTGGGGATGCTTTTAGCGACAGCTGCAAATGCAAATGAAAATTTAGAGTATGCAAAATTTGGTTGTTGGTGACACAATAAATAGATGAATTGCATCAGTTTCACAAGGCACGTTTCTGATGTATTAGACTTGTTTCAAACGTCATGTGTGCCGAGCGTATTAAAAGCAATAAATAATGAGATGAAATGCCTTTGGTAACTGTTTATTTCGTAGTGTTAAGCAATCAAGCTTTTCTAGGTTGTCGGAGACCCTATATAGTTCTTGCAGTGTCTTTTTAAATTTGAAACTTCACACTATCCTTGGATCCCTAGTTTTCAAATGTATAAACATTTCATTCTCAGAATTCAGACGTAAATATTGAGAAAATATTTGTGATTCTAGGCATTCAATTAAGTGTCGATATTATTTTGACGGTATATTCATTATACAGAGCTAGGAAGGAGCCATACAGTTTGTTTTCAAATATATAAACATCTCAGACATGAATATCTACGAATTCTACGCAATATATAAATTGATGTTTTGTATTTTACCGGCATTCAGTTAATTAATATTTTAAGTGCCGATATATATTATTTATATTCATTATACATCGACTGTAAGATGGCTACACTCAGTACAAAGAGCGAAAACTTGCATCAGTCAGTAGCGTAAACAACTATTACACAGAAGCGGTCTTTGTATCATTGTATTGCGTTTATATAATACGAAGAAAATATAACCATCAAAATAACTTATTGCGAGACTAAAGCCTGTTGAGAGACTAAAGAAAATCTCTTGACTCTTCAGAGCTCTTTATTCAAACAAGAAAGACGAGGAAATAGCCAACATGTATCGCTTTACAGTATGAAATGTACAGTCACAGGCTTTGTTCACATGTCTGGCACAACTGTGCAAACTCGTGTTGTTCAATGGCAATGCAGTATTTAATGCAATGAGAACTCTACCAGATCTTACAAGAATCTATCTGTATCAAAGCTTTGACTGCTATAACTGTGAAACTATTGACATCTAAAGTGAAATTATTGAATACTTGCAAAAAGCTGAAAATGACTCATGAAAAGCAACTTGACCTTGGGAATATAAAGTCAAAGGTCAATGAGACTTGTTGTTGTGAAACATGTCACGCCCAGCCAGACACAGTACTAAAATGTGGTGCCCGCCTACAAATAAAACTTTCAGCGTTTCCGCCTACATGCCTACGTGCACAAGTAAAGTTATATTTAGCACACTATATTCTCCTGTCGGCCGCCAGTTGGTCCGTACGTTCAAAACTGCGTTTTAAAGAGTTCGAAATAAAATATTTTGGGCTCAAAATACTATCAAAACTTTCCTCGAAAAAAGGAATTCGGAAAACGTGAAGGATTATTTTGAGCAGCTTGTCTTTCAAAAGCCACTTATCGCTAGAATAGAAGTCAATTTTGAAACCAATTTTCCATCTGTAAATACAATTTTTCACGCTGATTCGAACAGTGGTATTTTTGTCCTTGTTTGACGCATAAAACCAGAGATAAAGCCTAGCAAACAGTCGATCATAAGAGTACTTGACAACAACCAACAAATTCCGAGCATGGGCAAGGAATTTTTAGTAGGCGATTAAGTTAAACTAATTAAGTTAAAATGCAGATGAGGAACGGAGCGGATCTACGGAACGGATATAGGGATAAAATATGTCCTTTTAATGATGCAACGTCGTAGTGCTTATTATTCATAACATATCTTTAATCCTGTACAGCTACAGGTATTTCAATTAAAGTTGTTACTGAGACAATAGTCAAATGTAATATGGGCGCTAAAAGGATCATGGGAATAATCATAGTTTTAATTTAAATAAGTTTAGCATATCTTGCATATCAGTAGCCAGGGTGTTAGCTACAGTCAAAAAGTCCGCGTTAAACGCGGTTTTCCCAATTACCTTGAGGTCGCAATTTCCCAATTTGGGTCAGCCAAAAAATAGTTATAGAAATTCAATGTTGTTAATACGCCATTAAAAACATGTTTATAACTACATTTGCTCAAAATTACTCCCAAAATGTGGGAAATGCCATTTCAAAGCCACGAAAATTTTAAAAATCGAGAGGAGGCAACCGCATGCCCCAGACCCACAAAGAAATGGCCGGCTTCAGGCTAAAATAAATTTCCCCATTTCAGGTAAACGCGGATATTTTTTACTTCTGGCTAACACCCTGGTAGCATTGTGGGGATGCTTTTACCGACAGCTCCCAAAGCAAATGTAGTTTAAAATATGCAAAATTTGGTTGTTGGTGAAACAATTTAAATTCCGAGTCGTCGCGTTTAGCATCACAATAGATAAATAAATTGTATCAGTTCCACGAGGCACGACATTTTTGATGTGTTTATTGGACAATTTTGGCGTGTGGCACGTGGATGCAAGTAAAACCCCAATATTTTGAAAAATTGGAAATAATTATTTCTACTTGTTGTATTCAAACGAAACTTTCTACATAAAAGCGCTTGGATACAAGGAATATTTCACTGCTATTGACTTGGGTAAATGCTGAAGAGTTTAGAAGATATTCAAGTTTTTCTCGATTTGAACTACGAAATGTTTGACCAAGCGGTGAGTAAATATACGATGTTTTGGTTTTGTGTGTTATGTTATGACAGCATTTGACCCCCCGTTCGAAAGGTTATTTTATGAGGATTTCAACGGTGGTTTTCGTTTTAAAGGGGGGTAAATACTTGCCGAGATATTTTAAATTCTCTCCTCTCCAAAGTCGAAATATGTAATATGACCGGATAAGGAATATTAGAGAAAAAATTTTTTATCGCGCGATTGTATTATTAACCCAGCATGACGTGACACCTGATACTTGCTGACCTTTTGTCAGTACATGTTTTGCCATGGTGACCATTGTGACCCAGTGTGACCCATGCATTGTGAACCAGTGTGACCAGTGTGATTCATTGTGACCAGTGTACCCAGTGTGACCATTGTGACCTGTGGGGCTGTTGAAACACCTACACTTTTTATTCCGGATGAAGGTATTCAAGTAATACCTATATATGTATGGTACCTTAGTACAATATGATTTTATTACAATATTAACTTAAATCTTTATATGAAATTGCTAATTTCTTCTTTAACAATCATTCCAGAGCAACATGAAAGTCATCCCAGCTGCAGCCAGACAAGTAATCTGCTATCATCAAACACCCCAAGAAAAAAGAAACTAAGGAAGATAATAAACACCCAGAAAGAAAGATTGAAGCAATTGAGATCCATCAACCAAAAAAAGCAGCAAAAGAGAATGGCAACAGGAAAGAATCATTTCCAATGCTTTTACTCAAAATAAATGCTTTTACTCAAAATAAATGCATATTGCCAGCAAAAATTGTGAGATTTGTTGAGTCGCAAATTGATCTTCACTCCACAAAGGTAAAAAATAAAGAAAAAAATATATAAAACTGTGGTGTCAGCTTCAGCAACGGATATATATAATGTTTCACATTTTTATTTACCTTCCATGCATGTGCACATATTATTACCCCATTGAGTAACACAGCACCTTGATGAGCCACACTTATTATTTAATCTGTCTAACATCAGACAATTTTACTCATCAAGGGGAGAGTGCTGCCACTTAATGGCTTAACCTATATTACGAAAAATATAGTATATAGATGTGTTGTAAAGTATTGCACTCCATTCTGTTTGATGATGGCTTTGAAATGAAGTTGAAAATTTACAGTTTTGAGTAACATATTGTATTCTCAAGATGTCCTGCTTAATTAATCCAATTTTTGTTCTTTTACTTTTATAAATTGTTGGCTCCTAATGTTTTTTAAGGTAAAAAATGGTGGAAGATACAGCAATGAAACAAAGTCATTTGCTTTGTCTTTGTATCACCTGAGTGGAAAATCCTACAAAATGGTCTCGAAGCTCTTCTGCTTACCATCAAAGTTGAGCATCTTGAAATGGATTTCCAAAATGCCCAACGGTGCTGAACTCACACAACCTTCACTTGATGTTATCACCACCAAGGTTCAAGCATGTAGCTCAACTGGAAAGTTGTGCATAATATTAATGGATGAAATTTCTTTGAAATCTCACCTGTTTTATGATTGCAGCAAAGATAAAGTCCTTGGTCTTGAGGATCTTGGTGATGAAATCACCTCCCATAAATTGGCAACATCTGCAATTGTACTCATGGCCCGTGGCATTATCGAAAACTGGAAACAGCCCCCTGCTTGCTACCTAGTCAATGAATCATGTAGCAGCGATATAGTCAAGGAGAAGCTGACAGATGCCATCACCAAATTAGAGAACATTGGTCTAAATGTTCTTGGAGTTGGTTCTGATATTGGATCAAACTTTCAAAAGTTTGTTCGCGAGATGGGTATTACACCAGAAAATCCCTGGTTTATTCACAATAGCAAAAAGATATTGTACATCTTTGATGCACCCCACATCATAAAAGCAATCTGGAACAACCTTACCAATTACAACTTCCATTTTGACAACAAGGTAGCCAGTTGGAATGATGTTGAAGCTCTCTACAAGATAGACATCCAAAATTCCATCAGATGCTGTCCAAAATTGACCAACAAACACATGCATCCAAACGGTTTCTTGAAAATGAAAGTGAAACTTGCCACTCAAGTCTTGAGCCACTCAGTTGCAGCTGCATTGATGATGGCAATCAGTGGTGGTCTTCTCCCCACATCAGCTTCTGGTACAGCCGAATTAGTGTCCCATTTTGATGATATTTTTGATTGCTTAAACAGCTCCACGTTCAGCACCCCCAAAGAGTGTAACCGACCTATGACAGCTTCATCCAAGCACATGCAAACGATGAAGGAAAAGCTTCAGTTCATCAAGAAAATTAAAGTAATTGATGCAGCCAAAAACAAGGATGTCACATCATCATTGAAATGTGTAAATGCACTACAAATAACACTTCGCTCAACCATGGAATTGTGGAAGACAGTTCAAGGTAATGTCAAATTTTTATGTACTACACGTTTGAACCAAGACCCATTAGAGAACTTTTTGGATCCATCCAACAACAAGGTGGCAACTGTGATAATCCTAGCCTGCTACAATTCACCAGGGCATTTAGAAAATTGTTTTTTAACAATTATCTTCTTCAAATGGGTACTGGTAACTGTGCTCCAGATCTTGATTCCATCCTGGTGCATAACAAAGCAGTCAAGAACAGCAAAGCTGCCAAGATCGACAGCAACGTTGCATCTAAAGAAGAAAAAGAAAACAGCAGTGTACAGCCAATGCTATTCCACGAAATCCAAGATGTGGACTATAAATCTTCCACAATAGAAGAGAATTTGATTTCGAACAATGCCACATGTGGGTACCTATTGAAGAGATGTTTGGAAAAACATAGTTGCCAAACATGTTCCAGTGCTTTGATCAAAATGAACTTGATAGTACCGACAAACTGCTATGTTATTTCAAGGCCTATGAAACAAGCAGACAACCATTTGGAAGACTTACTGTGCCTGATGATGCCCTCATACAATACATTTTGAAGGCAGAACAAATATTTATAGAAGCATTTCGAACCCTTATTTCCAAACCTGGCATCGCTAAACAACTTGTATCAATGATTCCACAATTCCACGTAAAAGAATGCAGGCAATTCCCCAGCAAGTTCTTGGTGGAACTATTTGTGAGAATGCGGTTGCATTTATATACTAAAATTTGGAAATAGGGATATAATCCAAGGGAAGAAAAAAGGCAAAAACAAGAAATACTTCAAAGTGTCTCATCTGTAAAGATGCTGTAAATTCTGTCATGTGCGCATAGGTTCTGTGTAGGCCTACATTCCAATGGTCAGGATCCAATGAATTTCGCAGCTTCCGAACTTTCTTGAATTGAATATCTAGTGTGTATTCATTTACAAGCATAGCAAACTAGCAGAGTGTTAAAAATTCAGTATAATATATATCTAACATTCTTTAGCACTGTTGCAATGAGTTCAAAACGTTTGTTTACATTGCAGACTTTACAGCATCTTTAAACAATTGTGTTTGAATGTCATGTACATTGTGATGTATGTACATAATCATATTAATAATTAACATTGTTTTTTAAAACATTATTAATATTGAATTGAATGAGAATTGTATTTAGTCAAGTCCAAGTACTTTTAAACAAACAATTTTCAACGTATCAATTTTGTCCATGAGAAACATCATATAGATGTTTAGGGATGGGGGGGGGTTGCAGCTGTGACATTTCTCTGTAAAACATCATGGAAAAATTAGACAGTTTTTTGAAGGGGGGGGGGGTGATTTTGCATGGACAAAATTGATATGTGAGACTTCCCTTAAATACCTTTTGATGGTTGACCACAATAAGGTCATCAAGAAAAGCTCATACCAGATGGGATTTGGTAACCTGTTAAAGATGTAAATTAAAATGTTAATGGTGATAAATGGTGTAATTAAAATGTTAATGGAAATTCTAGCCCATGACAAGATGGTGTCTGTTGTGTAATTACAGCTCTGCCTAGTTTGATAAAAAATATATGTGTAGCTTGTATTTTGAGTTTAAATATTTCAGTATGGTTAATCTAGAAGAAGTCAAGAAGCTTATTGAGAAAGAATTGAAGCCTGCAATGGCCAAAATTGTTGAATACGAGAAAAAATTGCCGAAATGGACGAGTCGTATAATTTCCTATCGGCGAAGTACGATCAATCACTTAAGCAACTGCAAAGCTTAAACGAGAAGAGTAATATAAAGCTAGAAAAGAAAACCAGTGTCCTACAAATGGATCTGAATAATGTAGAAACGGTGTCAGAAGATCTAGCTCAATATCTACGGCATGATTGTGTCGAAATATCGGGTGTTGATCCATCAGAAGGACAATCATGCAACAACATTGTTGTATCCTTGAGTGAAGAAATGGGCATAATGAGATATATCAACAGCTCATGTCCTGCCAACATATAATGAAAACAAGGATAAAAAAATTATTGTGAAGTTTACGAGGCGAGACGTCAAGAATGAATTCTAACAAATCGAAAGAAAATCGCTGGAAGGAAAATATTGAGCCCAAAATCTTTTGGGAAGAAAGGCGAAAATAAGGTATATATATCGGAATCTTTAACCCCTAAAAGAAAGAAGCTTTTTGGTGCAGTCAATAATATCAAAATGAAGCTAAATTGGAAATTCATATGGACAAATAATGGTCGAATTTATCTGAGGGAATCTGACAACAGTGTGTCATTTACATTTGATTCAATTGCTGATTTGGTCAATTTTGAAAACAAAACAAACACCTTGCACCATCTGCCATTACCAACAAAATTTGCAGCACTACAAGATAACATCAGTCCCAATGTATGTAGGTATATCTAAATACACTTGTCTGAAATTGTATAAACATAGAGTTTGACCTATTATTATCATAATGTTATTGTTTTTTATTCGGATGCGAAAATGTTCATTATGTTAAATACGATATTAGAACCGAGAGCAACAACACATATTCTAAATTGGAAATAATGCGCAAACTTCGCTTTTATAATCTATCAGAACTAGACTTCATGAGGGAAGTACATTCTGCGACTCTCCTTAATTAATGATGAAACAATTATGTCTAAAGATCTCTATACTGATATTATCGAAATCCCGATAGAAACAAGAATTATGACGATCAAATACTTGATAAAATTGAATCAAAATATTTTGATATGAAACAAACCTTGAAGTATTTACAAACAAATAACAAAGGCTATTCTATATTTCACTGTAACATACGTAGTCTAGGCAAGAACCTAAACTGGCTTAATGATATCTTATTAATGTGCAAGGAAATGCCTAGCTTTATAGCAATCTCAGAAACTAAACTAAGTGATAATAGCAATAGCAATATTTCAATTCCGGGATACAGATTCCTCAGCAAGCCCTCACAAACAAGTGCCCTTGGGCAAGAATACTTTTGTTTAATTATATATTAAATAATTCTTGTTAACAATATTGTGCGTAATTTTACATTTACACCTATCAATGTTAAGCCCCAATGTTAAGGGGGGGGGGGGGTCGGCATATGTGGGGCAAATTTTCAATCAAATGCCCCACCATCGGGCAATAAATATTGGTCAAATACACACCATTTTGCAATAAATAGCAAGAAATACTATATTAATAAAAGTCATTTGTTCAAATTGCCCTAACTCGGGACCAAAATGCTAATTAAAATCCCCAGGGTGGGGGATGCAATTGATGATCAAATACCCCACATATGCCTGACCACCCCCCCCCCCTCTGGGGGCAAACCTTTATAGGTGCATTATGTATTATAAAAGATAAAAGCAACAAAATACACAGTGAGTCAGAAACTTTATAGACCACTGTGTGTAGTATTAGTGAAATGTACAAACACTACATAGCAATGCCCACCAATGGTAAAAATACATCCGATTGCTGCAATAGTGTTTTGGCTACTGCTCTAAAGATAGCGGGTCAAATCCTTGCCAGTGCCTAATTTTCTTTCCAGCACCTAATTAGCTTAAAATACTAAGTATTTTGCACTTTTTTCTTTAAAAATACTCCATTATCATAACATAAGTATCATGGACTTTGAAAAAAAAGTTTATGACTACTGTAGTTTCATGGGGTTAGGGTTGGTTGATTCAGGATTAGGCATAAGAGGCTGGGCCAATCAGAATTCAGAAGCTTTGTCAGATAAGGTGAATGCTAATGAAGTTTAACATGCAATGTGCCAAATGTTCCATACTTCAGATTATTTGCTTTGTCTAAAACCAGACTATTTTACTCTTGAAGGAAAAAGTCTTAATTGGCTCACAATTAACATATCTTGCAATGCTACTCCATAATCAAGCTTGACGCAGCTGGCATGAAAGAAATGTCTGCAAGTGTCACAACCAATCCAGTCGTCATCTTTGTCTTCTTTGCAAATTTTACAATGCGAATCATCTCTCCTATAATATAATGTACATGGTACAAGGTAAAAAAGCTGTTGATTGCTAACCATAAGCTGCATGTCATGCAAGGTATATAAACTGTGTTTGTGCAGATCGCAGCAATAATCCGAAGCGCTTTTGGTCCATGTCTCCACCAGAGATCAACCTAGCACGGAAAAAGATTCGCGTACAATCTTCACTTCAATCTTCACCAGAGATCAACCTAGCACGGAAAAAGATTCGCGTACAATCGGCAGTCTATGCAGTTTCATGTTCATGATTTCAAACAAGAACCGCTGTTTCTACAAACACCACCTTGTTAGAAGGCATCACGTTAACACCAGATCATGTTGCTGCAGTCTTAAGAACTCTTGACAATGATAAAGCACACAGACCGGATGGTATCCCTGCTCGTCTACTTATAGAAGCAGCGTCAGTAATACCACCATCGCTTTGTGATCTGTTCAACAACTCACTGCGCACTGAAGTGGTACTGCGAAAATGGAAACTGGCCAATGTCGTTCCTGTTTTTAAGAAGGGAGATAAGGAATATGTTGAAAATCACAGACCAATATCTCTGCTGTCTTCAATATCTAAAGTATTGGAACGCTGTTTGTTCAAATGCATGAAAGATCGCATGTTTAGCCAGATTAATCCTTGTCAACATGGCTTTATCCCAGGAAGAAATTGCATCACTCAGTTAATCGAAGTGTTCGACACGATTGGTAACTTGTTGGATCGTGGTAAACAAATCGATGTGTTATACCTGGACATGTCGAAAGCCTTCGATAAGGTGAGCCACAAATGTCTTCGTCTTCGTGATTTTGGGTTTAGTGGTAACATCCTCAAATGGTTCCAATCATACTTACAAGATCGTAGACAACAAACGACAATCCTTGGAGCAACATCATCTCCTACACCAGTAACTTCAGGAGTACCTCAAGGCTCGATTCTTGGTCCACTACTGTTCTTGTTATATGAAAACTATCTACCTTCCAGTATTGTGAATATTTCTATCGCAACTTATGCTGATGACACCAAGTTATTTAAAGAAATAAACTGCCTTGATGATGCTACAGCGTTGCACGATGACTTGTTAAACTTTGAAACCTGTTCCTCGAATGCTGGTGTTCAATTAAACACTTCGAAGTGTAAAGCTCTCTGTGTTACCAGAAGGCGCAAGACAATCGAACATCCATACAGTCTGGTTAACCAAACCTTAGAGACCTCAAAACATGAACGTGATTTGGGTGAATGGATCTCCAACAACTTGACCTGGCAAAAACAAGTCTTGGAACAATGTTCAAAGGCAAATAAATTGCTGGGATTTGTAAAACGATCCACAAGAAATATCACCAGTCAATCAGTGCGTCGTACCCTCTACCTAACTCTCGTAAGATCTCAAGTCGGTTAATGCAAGTTTGGTCACCACAGTCCGTAGAGCTCATCTCCCGTTTAGAACAAGTGTACAAAGGCGTGCTTCAAAATACATCCTTGGCCTGCCTTTTCTTTGCGAAGCCAGTTACGAACAACGACTGAAGAAATTGAAGCTTCTTCCTATCAGCTATTGGCACAAGTACTTGGACGTGGTGTTCTTATTTAAAGTAAGTTGTGGTGCCATAAATCTTCTGAGATCAGTCCTTCCTACACAAATAGAACAACAAGATCTGTTCAACCAAACTGTCTCCAATTCCGCACGAAGAAATGCTATACAGCAACATACCAACAGTCGTATACAATCAGATCAACAGGATCTGGAATACTTTACCAAAAATCATAACTAATAAATCTAATTCTTTATATACCTTTAAAAAATATTTACTTGACTATTACCTCTCTGTTTCACAATTTAACTATAACATACATGATCCTTGTTCATGGAAAACAATTTGTTTAAAGTGTAATCAGACTCATGATCTCACTGTTTTTAAATGATAATTTTTTACGAGACAATGAAAATGCTTTTGTCCCCGAGCCGACGGCGCGAAGCGCCGTGCGAGGGTACTAATTCCCCCCGGCTATTTACACCCGGGGAAACGAAAGCATTAGCGAAGTCTAAAGTTCATCAAATATCGCGGGCGTGGCTCACCAACGAAGTTTCGGTGGGTGGTCATCCTCACTGATCTCAAAATATGTGGCGGACTGTCATGAATAGCGAAAACTGATTGGTCCAATTTAAAGTTTGCATTATAACGACTGCATGACGACAGCTAAATAGCAAACATTTCTTGATTTGATGATTGATAAATTTCTTGCAAATATCACAAATATATTTCATTTTCGCTCACATTTTCGCAAGATTTTGTAAATTTCAAGAAAGAAACAGCGAAACAATCGGCTAAAAGAAGTGAGCCAACGTTAACGAAGGTAACTTTGTTTTAAATATTGATTTTATAATGGATTTAATTTAAAACCCGACGGCCTTTGCATATATGAAACAGCTAAACACGACAAGACAGCATATTATTTCAGTGTATCTTTAGTAATATTGATTCCCTTTTTTATGATATTGAATTTTTTAAATAAATAAAAAAAGAAAGCAGAGTTATTTGCAAGCGAGAATTCCAAGTCATTTTATTGCAAACTCAAAGTTTATCGATAAAGCCATTTTAAAAGTCAGTTTAGTTTTATAAAGAACACTAGTGACTTTAAAACGTTTTGCGAAGCGTTTGTGGTTGAATTTGACCTTAAATTGAGGCTTATATTACGTATAATAACATACCTAACATATATATGTTGGCAAATTAATAATTTTGTAATTAAAAGTGATATTTTTTAGGCGATTTTTCATTTGTAAGAATATTCTTAAAAAATTATCGTGTTACCATGACAACTACTTCAGATACTTCATGTTCGGAAAATACAATGGTTTTGTCTGTTTGTCAGCAAGGCGAGGGTTTCTGCATGCATGTATTTTCTAGTATAGTTTAAGATAATTTGTTTGTTGTCTAATGGGATCACAGTAATTGGCCAAAAGCTGTCGTGAATACCTGGTCACAATTGTTGTATTGTTAAATCTATAGTGCATTTCGAGTTAACTTGCATCTACGGTTTTCATGTCTGTTTTAATATGATTTTAACAGTTTGTTAGTCTGGGAAAATGATACATGAAGGGATGGCTCGGAATGTGTTATAGTCATTATAGTATTTAGATATGTAATTTATATTGTGACGTTTATAAAATTAAAAAAAATTTTTTAAAAATGTCTGGCTTTATATAATTTGCCAGTGTTTCATTTAATACTTTATATATTAACTTACTCAACAAAATCATCATAACAGTTGCCAAAAAGTGATGATGAAATTTTATCTCTTTCACTTTTCATGTTAAAAGCTTGGTTGAGCGGTTCTCCTTTGGTTATACAATGTGCAAACTAAAAAGATTAAAGTTACAAATTGAAGGTAAGTATACTTTAAGGTTACAGAACACCTTTGAGTGTTAATTTTGCCTAAAATTTTTTTATCGGTTTCCATGAAAGCATTAGACTAGTTCTACTATCTGACCAAGTTTGAACGAAAAATGTTGAAAACTTGCAGAGTTATTTAATAAAATACATTTCGCTGCAATAAGAAAAACATTGAAAATGTAATATTCAAATTCAATTATCTCCCGAAGAATTTTACAGTAATTACTGACTTTCAAACGAGTTGTTCTCCTGCGGGTTTTAACCAATTTTTCTCAAATTTTTACAGGACATAGCTAAAGACGTCAGTTTCAAAATTGTGTTCGGCTTTTTTAAAATTTTGGATATTTTAATATAAAGAGCAATTCACTCAAACAATTCAGAAATATATTGCAGTCGTCAAAGAAATCGCCATATCAGCAGAATGACGAAATAAACAAAAATTTCCGAACACAATTTTTTAGAACAACTATTTTACTGTATAAAAATGATATTTTCATAAATATAACACAAAACCAGCAGGAGCACAACTACCGCGATTTAAGATTTTCCTGAATAATTCTTACATTATTTTATTGTTTGCTAATTTTACAACTTTACCATATTTTGCACGCACTGGCAAACATTTGGTGAAAATTTGATTAAAATCGGACTGTTATTGAGCGCGCAGTAGCGATTTTCCGCAAAACGCCAAAAAGGGTGTCCTGTAACCTTAAAGTAATTATTTTTGAAATAATTTGTTAATTTCCAATGCTTATTATATACTGCACCTACCAAACACATCAGAGTCCCACAATTATACCCATTTTTTTAACAAAATGCTCGGGCTCTACACATTCCCAATTCTTGCTCCTCCAACCAGTTTTGATATCCACCACAGAACTGTTAAATTGAAGAAAAAATGCAATACTTTAATGCTTTACTTAGACAATAACTTTAATTGAAGAGCGGTCTTGGTACAAAGAAAGCTCCTGTTGTAAGTCACCGGCAGATAGCCTTGGCTTTCGAGTTTAATTTTACTGGGGATTGGTTAACTTTGGACACAGATAAGTATTATATATTAAAAGGAACGAATTGTTATGAAAAGAATATATCGCTTCATTCCGTTTGGTGTTGGGCTCTAATTTGCATGTACCCTAATCTCGTAGTCGTTTTTGTGTGTCAACGTCATCAGCGCCCTGATGTCTCATTGTTCCTTATTTGGACAAAAAGACACAAGCGACCATGTGCTTACTATCCAAATTCTACAGCGTCATTTCACCTATTGTTAATTGGTGATTTAGTGTCCAAACTTAATCCAGGACCTGATTCCAAACAACAATGCCCTATAAAACCAATTGTATCTGTGCGAGGAAGTAGTTCGTTTGTGCCTATTGTTGAACGAAACCCAAACAATCTAATTAACTCTTTCTCGACAGGCCATTTCACGTGACAAATTAGTGCAATTCATTTCCGTACAAATTTCTCCGCGAGTACTTGACCTTTCACAGAGCACCATACATTGTTTGAAAGCTTATGAGTTGCGCTATCGATGAGTGACGGTTGGTTTTCATTTGAAATGTGTCACGTGACCAAAAACTGCATATATTTGCATAAATTATGCAAAAAATGTAGCAATTATATTTTAATTTAGCCTCATTGCGACGAAACAACGCATATTTTCCAATGCATTATATTTATGAAAAGTTAGCTTAGGTTATAAGGTATATGTGAGCCAAGTTTCATAATAATTGACCGACAGGAAATATTTTTTTTTATTTTTTGAAATTTGCCCTTTAGAAATAGCAGAATCTTACCTTTGATTCCATTGGCATGTCTCTGATCTTGTAACCATGCCAGACCCTCATATAGATATATATTTACATAGTGGTAGTAGTGGCCTTTTGGAATTTAACCTGCCCCACTCATTTTCTCGAGTGGGATCCTCGCTATCATTGGTCGAAATGAAGGTTCTAAGCAACTCGGCAACTCAATTTGGGAAATTCGACCGCCATGAAAAACACAAAATGTGTACAACAATATAATTTTTAGAGTAGCTGACACCTTTATGTTCTGCCAGTTCAAGGGACAATTTTCCAATTGATTGGGGAAAAGAAACAGTTTGTACAGGCACACAAAGGTTTTTGAATGACGATGCTTGAAATCCACTTCGCATGATATAAAAAAATCAACCACAACACACATCTTCTTTCAATTTTTAATAATATAGCAAACAATTACATTGAATAATATATACATGAATGTAACACAAATAATAAATAAAATTTTATAAATAAAATGTATGTCAAACATTGAACTGTAATCATAATGGGAAATATGATACAAATTTTCATTCGTTTGACAAATTTGATGTTGGACATGATCGTGAGCATATTACCCGAACTATCAAAAGCAGAAATACTCGTGATCATGTTCTCTTACCAGTATAATCACTACTATGCCATACCTCAAAACAATCATACCCAGCACCAACATGCATATGTTTATTATTGCACTGCGGAGCACTACAATAAGTGGTCACATGCTTCTGCCCCTTACCTTTCCCGTAACAAACAACACAATGCTTCCTACTCTCAGCCGTCTTAGGGATATGGAGGGTACAGAACAGATCATGGCGAGGAACAGCCTGCACTGCCTCATACACAGGAGGTCTATCATACTCTTCCAACCCACAAATCTGTCTAATAATCTCCTCCCGAAAATTAACTATATTATATGTAGATATGCGTTGCAAAGCCGGATTACCCGGGTCAGTTGCACGATGCTTCTGAAAAAGAAGAAAACCGTTAACAACTGCCATATCTATTAAGTGGTAGAACAAAGTCTTCCACCATCTATAACACTTACGATATACATTATGGCATGCAAGTATTTGATCGGACCTATCTACTGCATTCATGTATTGATTATATCTATAAAATGCATAGGGCTGGTCTACATCTACCCGTTCAAATACATCTCCCACCTTCATTCTTCTCCTTGCAACCTCTTTCTCATTCGCGGAATCAATTGATGTGAGCAAGGAAACAGCCTTGTTATCAACCCATTGGATGGCTAACACATTCGAGTCCCGCTCCCATCGCATGCTTCCTCGCTCCAACTTCTTCGCCCACACCTTAACATTCCTCAAGGACTTGGGGAAACCCTCCCTGTTAGTTCTACATGTACCTGATGATGGGGTTGCATGCAAAAACAGATCTTGGACTAACTTAGGGGATGTAAAAAAATTATCAAAAAATACATGATACCCTTGGTTCAAATATGGATCCACCAACTTCATTACCACATCATAACCCAGACCATTACCCGACGGTTTTTCATGCTCCGACTTACCTATATAAACGTTGAAATCAATAGTATACCCATTAGAGCTGTCTGCCAATACCCAGAGTTTTATTCCCCCACTTTGTAGGCTTGTTCTTCATGTATTGCCTAATGCCTGACCTATGTTTAGACTTAACCATACGCTCATCCACAGCAATATTCTGGCTCGGTTGGTATGACGCCTGGCATCGCTCTTTGAATGCCGCAAGAAATTCCTCAACCTTGCCCAGTTTATCGCCAGGCTGCTCGTCGGCGGGATCCACCACATGCAAGAATGCCATAAGGGCTTTATAACGAGTACGGGAAAGTATCTTCCTTGCCCAGAGACCGTGGTAAAGGGTCTTTGTGCTCCAATACTTTTCTACGGTTGTGTCCACACGTACCAGACCAAAATAAATCAAAAGAGCAATCAAATGATTTATTTCATCATCAGTCGTTTGTTCCCAAGCCCCCTCCCAAGTGGTGTATGTAGTATACCCCCCAGCTACAAGTTTCATGTATGCGTAGCTATTGGTATGGGCAACAACTGATTTTATCATCTCGGAGGTAAAGAATAGACGAAAAAACTCTAACGCAGTTGTCATACTTCCCCGCAAGACTTGCCTACCAAAATGAATTCCAGGCGGACGGTTTGGTTGAAAGGGAGGGAGGTCATTCTTAGTGTCCGCATCATTATAAGACTTACTACTAGTATTGGCAGTCCCACCACTCCTGGCCCTACCACCCCTTCCACCCCTGGCCCTACCACCCCTGGCCCTACCGCCCCTTCCTCTATTGCCAGAAGTACCACCAAGGGAGTCAGCCCGTCTCTTAGCTGGGGGTCGGCCCGTTTCACCACTACCCTCCCCCAAATCACCATCCCCCTCCCAGTCTGGATCATCATCTTCATCAGCAGGTTCTTCATCAGCAGGGTCTTCATCACTATAAAACAAGTAAATAGTATAAGCATACTGATACATGGTATTATCTTACTTCAAATAAAACAAAAATGTATAAACTAAGTTTTAAATGCCCCCAGAACTCGGTAAACAGTATCAGCATAATGATACATGGTATTATCTTGCTTCATATAAAACAAAAACGCACAAAATAATTTTTAAATGCCAACTTATGCCACGTGCACAACGTCATGCTCACACATTTTGAGACACATTTTCAAAACCTCGATTGTCGTGGCAATACATGATAGAACTCTCAAATAAATGCCATACTACATAGGTTATGTATATATTTGCTATATTTCAAAACCAGATATTCGATTATAAACCTAATTCTCATGGCCAGTGCTGGCCAAAGTTCACGTTTGCGTCAAATGCAAATTTGAGTCGATCGACCATGACATGACAACATCTGTTCGCTAAAAACATATAAATACTTGCCTTATGTCGCTATCAGATGCTGCCAAACGCCTGTCCAAGTCTTCTTCTTCGTCCGATGATATACCACCAGTATTAGAGTCATCATTTTGATCTTCTATGCATTGTAAAACTTCCGCAAAGTTTACAGCCATCGTTACAGAATTTGTTCAGCAAAGATGGCAACGCGGCCGTTGGTGCGCACGCCACTTATAATACAAAAAATGCCATATAAGGCGCAGATCTTGCTATAAACCAATGAAATTCACGATTCTAGACGATTACATCATGGGGAATCAATTGCCGAGGGTTTTAAGTCCATACGGAGAAAGTATCCCAGAGTAAAAAATAACGCGGATGAAATGGAGTCATTTGAGTATTCAGACTGGTGTGTGCAACTTCAGCCAACACAGAAACTTCGCGTTGTTATTGTTTATCGGCCCCCGTATTCTGAAAGGCATAAGGTCTCTACGCAGGTTTTCTTCAATGAATTTTCAGACTTCTTGGAGTCAATTGTTATGGCGGATGAAAAGCTTCTAATCGTCGGTGATTTCAATATTCACATTAATGCTCTGGATGATTCTGACACGATTATTTTTCAAGATTTACTGGAGTCGTTCAGTCTCCAGCAACATGTGTTAAGTCCAACCCACACCCATGGACATACCCTCGATCTGTTTATAACCCGCCAAACAGACAGAATTATAAGAACTCCACCTTATACTGACCACTACCTCTCTGACCATGCTTCAGTTTTGTGTGATATTCAATTTGATAAGCCATCACTGACTGTTAAAAGTGTAACTTATATGAAATGGAAATCAGTAGATGTGCCTTCTCTTAACCATGATATCGCTATGTCGGAATTATGCACGAATCCTCCAAACGATCTAGATGAATTGGTTGCTTGTTATAATAACACTTTGAAGGCACATTTCGATAAATATGCACCACCTAAAACAAAAACGATAACAGTAAGAGCGCGGGTGCCTTGGTTTAATGAACAGCTTAGAAAAGCAAAGCGTGAAAGATGGAATGCAGAGAGGAAATGGAGAGTGTCTAAGTCAGATGTAGACTTTGTTAATTTCAAAGGCAAGCGAAACTTAGTTAACAGACTCATGTGTAAAGCGCGTACAGAATATTATACAAGTTTCATTGAGGAGAACAGTGGTGATCAGAAAAAATTGTTTAATGCAAGTAAACGCCTGTTTGGTCAACATCATGATGATGGTCTTTCCCCTAATTTAAACTGTGAAGCTTTTGTTAGTGACATCGGAAAGTATTTTGTACAAAAGATTGGAAACATACGGAGAAAACTAGATAATAACAAGGTGCATGCCTCATCTAGATATTTGCAGAATACTTCTGTTCCACATGCCGTTGAGGAGTCCGTGCCAAAGTTTTCGGAGTTTATCGCCCTTACTGAACTTGATGTAAAAACTCTAATTGGTCGTGCTGCATTGAAGACCTGTAATTTAGATCCAATGCCATCAAAGTTGGTTTCCTAGTGTGATGCATTGTTTCCCATCATAACACGAATTATCAACCTCTCTTTACAAACTGGCCAGTTTCCACAGTTATGGAAAGAGGCACATGTCCATCCACTCCTAAAAAAGCTGGGTTTGGAAGCCATTTTCAAGAATTTTAGACCGATATCCAATCTACCATTTGTGTCTAAACTTGCAGAGAGAGCTGTGTTTGAACAGATGCATGTTCATATGGTAGATCATGATTTGTATCCACCAGGACAGTCATCATATCGGAAAAACCACAGTAATGAAACTGCGCTGCTGAAGGTGAAAAATGACTTACTGATGAACATGAACAAACAACATGTTTCACTCCTTGTTTTTCTGGACATGAGTGCGGCCTTTGACACAGTAGATCACGGTATTATGATAGAGCGTTTATCATCTAAACTAGGATTTTCCGGTACAGTAATCAGTTGGTTCCAGTCATACCTATGCAGGGGATCTCAGCGTGTCACTGTTCATGGTACTGTCTCTGATAGGTTTGATGTGGCCTATGGCGTTCCTCAGGGATCTTGTTTAGGACCTCTATTGTTTACAATTTATGTGAGTAAACTGTTTGATATCGTTCAGAGGCACTTACCAGATGTTCATTGCTATGCCGATGATTCGCAGTTGTATGTTGCATTTAGACCTAAAGTCGAATCTGAGCAATCGGATGCTGTCACAGCAATGGAACGATGCATTGAAGACATTAGGAAATGGATGAGTGAAGACAAGTTGCTTTTGAATGATGAAAAGACCGAGTTCCTCCTTATCGGAACTAAACAACAACTCGCCAAGGTTAACCTCGATCACATTACAGTTGGAACCACTGATATTGCTCCTCAACCTGTTGCCAAAAATCTCGGGGTATGGATGGACTCTAACCTTACCATGAGTACACACATTTTAAGAACTAGTTCCTCTGGGTTTTATTTCTTATATAACATAAGACGTATCAGAAAATATCTTACCAGAGAATTGACTGAGACATTAATACATGCATTCATATCAAGTCGTTTGGACTATTGCAACAGTTTGTTGTATGGACTACCCAATTGTCAGCTGGCTAAGTTACAAAGAGTGCAAAATGCTGCTGCACGTCTAATATTTCAGGAATCGAAGTATTGTCGAATTACACTCTTGAAGAACTTACATTGGCTACCCGTCAAATATCGTATTAACTTTAAAGTACTTTTACTTACGTTCAAAGCCATTCATGGAATGGCTCCACAGTATCTAAGTAACCTTATTAGTCTCAAGAAATCTAATAGATACAGTCTTCGTTCTAGCAATACTTTATTACTTAGCACTCCATCCCTCAAGTCATTTAAGACTTTGGGAGATAGGGCATTCTGTATGGCTGCCCCAGCATTGTGGAACAGTCTACCGTACTCTATTAGAAATTGTAGTGCTGTAAATAATTTTAAACAATTAGGACGTTTTTATTTCGTCAAGCTTTTGATTAGCTTGGAACGGTTTTTTAGTGTAATATATTTGTAAAATTCTTAACTTCTGTAATGCGCATTTGAAAATTGTATAGCTGATAAATGCGCAATTTTAGCTAATAAATTATAAGCTAATAAATTATTATAATATATTAATTCATACTATCTTTAGTACATTAAGGTTGCTTGTTATATACTATATACTATAAATACCTTATGTTATCAATCAGTTGTTTTAATGCTGGGTTATTTTGTTATTCCTTTAGGACTACCTCTAAGAAAAAGGCCTTCAGCTCATGACAAGTAGCACTTGCAAGATCTCGAGTGGTTATTGCTTCTTGGAGAACCTCTGTATCTTCGACCAGAAATGAGACATCCTTTAGTCCGGATAACTGTTCATGAAACCGTTTCTTCAGTTTTACAACACTATCGGGTTGTTCCGATGGAATGGGAACTTTTGTTGGTGTTGAATATGGTGTTTCTTGATCAAATGGTGGACTTTCATTAGGAGAATGTGGCTCTTCTATGGCTCTGCTGGAGTTGACCGACTGTGTGTGGATGCTGTTTGCCTGTCGATTCATTAGCAAGTCATCGTTATCGAGTGTGATGAATACGCTCTCTCGATATGACACGGGTAAATTGGTAAACTGCCACTTGGGGAAGAAATTGAAGATCGCGAAAAAATTCTTACAGGGGAAGGTGGATCACCTCCAAGATTCGCATGTACAGCTAGGAATGTGGAACTGCACTTGGTAGCTTACATTTTTTACTCTCAAGCTTTTGACCAGAAACCTGCCTTGTTCATGGTTTGAACAGGTTATGTCTTTTTCCTCGACCTTTTCCACTGTCGTCAGACAGTGTTTAACAAAATTAGGTGGCCAGTCTTTTAAATAATCTGGAACCATGGAATTGTACTTACTGTATGAGCCACTTAATCATAAATTAGCGCTTAGATAGTTTTGGTAGGTGTCGGGTAGGAAAGAACAAATAATCATGACGACAATGCCATACAAAGATTTGTCAATGGATTGTGGAAGATAGTCATACTTGAACAGCCTATTCATCGATTCCACTCCATTGTTGGTGTTGACAATATTTAACTAAATAACGAAATGTTTGACACAAGCGAAAATAACATGGTACCCACGGTTTTTCCACGTAACTTCTCACATTTGCGTTGGTTTTGCACAGAGTGGATAGGCGTAGTGATAATAACTCGCCTTCGTATTGCTTTTCGGTTGGCGCACTACCAATTCTCGTCATAGCTGACTGGAAAAACTTCTGCTTGTCGTGATCTAATCCATTCTTGCCAGCCCTGGCCCAGCGTTGGATCGCCTGTTGACGGTGAAAGTCACAGATATAGGCAACAACACCAGGAAAGCACTCTCCTTTCGCCCCTATTTCGGCCTCTGAAAAGTCGACCATAAAGTACTTTGGTTCCACTCTAGGTTCCACCCTCGCAATATTCCCAAGGCTGCTGCAATAGAGATTTCATCCTCATGCTGACACAAACTCTGCAACCACTTTATACCCAACGCTGGTGTTTACGCCTAAGAAGAATAGCGGCATGGCGTATTTGGTTGTCTTGTATGTTGTGTCAAGTAGGGCAAGGATGCTTCCATACCTCAGCAGAAGTCTGCATTGCCATTCTTCTTGGTGTGAAGAGAAAATTTTCGCTTCTGTTTGTGGGAATGGCGGCGTCAACAAAGAAGTTTGTTGGGCGCCGGCCCGGGATTGCTTCCAATCCGTGATTTTCTGCAGGAGGGACTCTTGGTCATCATTGCAGTACTTCTCGGCTGCAACAGCTTTTGCAGTATGATTGCAAAATGCTCTTTAATGCCAGTGACGTTTTTCTTTGCCAGTTTTGAGAGACGCATGCTCCTTGCACAACGGAATTTTCAGGTAATGTCGCGTGGACGTTCTCGGTTTCTCACCTGATCCCAACTTTTGCTTCAGATCAGTGATTTTCTTTTCTTTAGCTGTTCGGATGCAACTGGGTGTGGACAAATTGCCTGGCGGTTCAAATTCGTCAAATATCTCAACATGCCTTATTTGAATCATAGCTGGACAGTTCAGTTTATGCGTTCCTTGCAGTTTTTACTCTACAGTTTCTCCCATAGTTGTGGTCATCAATGGGTTTTTGTGTCCAACCTCCTCTCGCATCCTATTTACATCGTACAAAATTGTATACTTTAACTGTAACTTTAACAACATCCGAATTGCAGGTGCTACTGGTAGAGATAGCAAATTTTGTACCATAGTAATAATTTTTCCATTTATTAAAGATGCGGTCAAGTCCGTTTTGCGGATACTCGTGGCGCATGCCTAAATACCAAAGGTCGGGACCCGACCATTGCCATTGAAATGTTAATGATATTTCGCATCTTTCGAACTTTCTTGAATTAAAACTCTAGTTTATATTCATTTGCAAGCATAGCAAACCAGAAAAGTGTTGGAAATTCAATTAGTATATCATATTTTAAAAATGTAGCAATTCAAAATATAAGCAAAGCGTTTGTTTACATTACGGACTTGACTATATCAAATCATTATGGTCTATACTGTACCTTTTCTGAACCATGTAAACAGTGCCTCATTTCTGTTCCAATTATTATAAACGGTTTACCAAACATTGCAAAGGGTACTTTTCCACCATTGTGTTCAAACATTGGACAGGCTGGGAAAAGAACGTTTCATAAGGGATAAATAAAATAATATAAAAACCTTTCAATGCATGTATGCTTTTATATATGTTTTTTTTTTTCACTCTTTGCAAAGCTGAAAAATTACTGCCCTACTTGCATTAAAATTAGCGCAGTACTAGAATTCGCACAGCGCTGAGTGCACAAAATTTTACCGGTCCGCAAAATATAAACCATGTGAAAAGCTTTGTGGTATAATATGAGATGCTCATTGTTAATAATGCAAATCATTGATTTATTATTATACGTATTTACCGGTACACATTTGACATATGTTTTAAGCTGTACTGGTAACATAAGAAATAAAGAATATCTCCATCCTGGAAAAATTCAGTCAGGACATTCTCAGGTTCCACGTAGTGTTCCGTCACGAATGCATTATTTTGCTGTAGATCCTCAAACATACATTGTTTTGCATGACTGTAAGGATAATGGGAATCTCCAAGACTCCTTGTGGTAATGGCAGGGCCTATCAGAGAAATTCAGGGGCCCGGGGTAAATGTTTGTTTTGGGGGCCCTATTTTTCCCAAAAATGTTGGCCGGGGGAGGGGTTCCAGACATTAAAAAAAGGGTCAAAAATTTTTCTGCTTGAACTTCAGCTTAAACTAAAGTTCAAAAAATTTTTCCGGAAAAATTTCTGTTACAACATGGGTTAAACCCTTTTTTTAGATCAATATATGTAAATTTTTTGGTTTAGAAAATTTTTTCTCATACAATTATTTTTACTAAAAAACATCCCCCCCTCTGAAAGGGCCTGGGTAATGGAGATCGATAACCATACAATATGATATAGATTACCTGATTCGGAAAATCGTTTGTGCCCCATTGGTCGGAAATGTGAATCTTTCTTCATGAAACATGTCAAGCTCAATGCCAAGAATGGTTCAATTATATTTTCATCATTGTCGCCAGTATGTCCATAACAGTAAGAGCCCTCTATTCGAAAATCTGCTAAAGAACTCCTTAAAAAATGTATTTCTCTTTGGCAAATACTCTCAAATTCGCTGCATGCCATGTCTCATTATTAACATCAAAGAACCGGTATTGTTTATTTTGATTTTAAATTATTTTGATTTTAGTTTCCCGTGCTTTTATGAATAATTAAAACTTTAATACAATGAACAATTAATTTATACAAACATGTTACAAAGATTTTACGAAGACATTACAAGATTATAGTGGAAAACCGCTTTCCAATTGTATTGACGTCACCCTCAAAGAATGCCTGTGAGGTAGTCAACCCTGTTTTTAATGCTGTTAGCAGTTATGAGATACGCGACTTGATAAATAATCTTAATACAAACACATCTTCAATTGGGACTCCTGTCAGATTTATAAAATTAGCAAGAAACAATATCTCTGAAGCATTAGCTGAGGTGATTAATCTATCTTTGGCACAAGAGTAGTAATAGTAGAATGAAGTCGAAAAAAAAAGGGGGTGTGTGAACCTGTTTAATTTAATTGGAGCTTTGAATGGAAAACGAAAGTATTGCGGGCGCAGAAGTATGAATCCGCTGACTGTACGGACGGGGGGGATAATTTGAAGGGGGCGGTCCTTAATTTAAGCGAGTTAGCGTCGTGTGTTTGATTGACAGTTCGCGGCGGGTGGTGGCGCGCACGCGTATCCGTGACGTAGCTCCTCACCCAAAGCCATGGTCGACCGAACTGAAGTGCGCCGTTTGAATCTCGCGCCTTTGTAGAGATGTTGTTTCCGCGTGTGTGTTTCCGCTTGTGTGTTTTTTCCTTTTCGTGTGTTTCCGTTTTAAATTTGTGTTTTTATGTATTCATTTGGTTGTTTATTAATATATATTGTATTTTTAATTAAAAATATCTAAAGATATTAATGTTTAATAGTATTTTTTTACATGTAAAAAAACACCATCGTATTTTTTCAAAACATCATTGACAAATATTAAGCTTTATTACAAGATCAAAATTTATTAATAAAATATTTACAAAAAGTGTATTAAATAGGTTAAAAAATGTTTCTAGGAACTAGAGTCACTATTGTCTTGTTTTTTTGTCAGCGAGTAGAGCACGTATTCGGCCGAGTTGATTTTTTGTAATTTCTGTCGTTTTTCTTGAATTATCTTCAGACACTCCTCACGCTCGTCTGTAAACAGTTCGTAAGAGTCGAATTCGCGACCCGTGTTAACAACGATCTCGTGCTGTATTTTTGTCAAGATAGTTCTAGATTTTTTCGGTTTTCCTTTCGAGTCCGGCAGTGTTAGTTTTTGACGTGTTAGCTGCATTGCGGCCATATCGTTGAAATCTTCTTCGAGACGAATTAATTGCTCGTCGTTAGTAGGTCGACCGCATTCTCGTTTACGTTTGCGTTGTGGTCTTGTTTTTGTTTTTTTCAATTCCTCTTCATCTTCCTGTTCTTTAGCGAATTGTTTTTTTGCCGCTAAAACATCCTTGCCCCGATGAACCATTTTAACCGGTGTAGTATAGACGTGCGCGATTGTATTTTTGTCTGGACTCGTCATCAGGTCTTCGATCAGGTCGTAGTCGTCGGGTAGTTCATTAGCTATGCTTATGGGTTCTTCTTCGGTTTTGTTCTCAGTCTGTTGATTATCATCGACGATGATGGGCAAAGGGGTATTGGGTTTTTCCTTGACCAAACTGAATGCGCTAAAGGTACCCTCGACATTGTTCACATATTTTTTTAATTGTTTTAGCTTGTCGGGAAGTGCATGGTAGTCTGTCTTTTCGCCAAGGATTGCGGGTGATGAGGGTTGACTATTAACTATTGGTCTTTGTGGCGATGCTTGTGGCGTATTTGTTCGTTGCGGAGAGGGGATAACGTATTGTGTATTAATGGGTGATTGGTAAGGTTTCGGTGACGTGATTGTGTCCAGTATTGGGTTTGCTTTTACCTTCTCTTCCAGCTGCCATTTTATGAAATTTAATTCATATATATTTTCTGGATGTTGTGCATTGTATGCTGTAAAACTCCAGTGTTGTGAAAGTATCGGTGTTAAATTCGTATTTTCGTTGATTGACACACCCAACAACCCAATGAATTTTGTTAAATCAGCGTCCATTTTATGAGGTTTTGATTTTGACTGTTTCCTCGACGAGCAGTTGTTCTGAAATGTGTAGAACATTTAGAAGCAAGCTTTGATGTCATAATTCATTAAACCAAATAGGGTCATATGATTTTTAATTCTTTGACCATATTTGGATTTAAACGGTTTAGAACTCGTTTCAATAGTGTGTTCAATAAATGTGTGTGTCTATATATGGTCGTATGGAATAGTGTGTTATTGGGAAATAATGCATGTGACCATATATGTACGTAGTGTTATAGGGTTGTAGTTGTTGTATATAATTCTATATATGCGTATGACCATATGGGGTTGTGTTAGTTATAGCATGATGAGGGTTCTTATAAGAATGATTTTTATGAGTGTACAGCGAATATTGAATAGCGATATGAGTTTTGCTATTAAGTTTATATTATCGTTATTTTTAGTGGTATTTTTTACGTATTTACTGGCAATCGTTTATTATACGGACGTGTCTATAAATGATGTTGAAAATGTGTTGAAGCACGGTTATCTGTATAGCTGTACTGAATATGTCGAGGTATGATCGTTTGTGTACCAACGTATTTGATAATTTAAAAAATTATTGTAGAAATGGTGAATGTGTTGATATTTATCATTGCGGTTATATGTTTTCGGGTGTTCACGCGTTTTTCGATCGCACGGATAATCGGCGATATGTAACTTTAAAGTTAATACATCAAAATCAAGAACGGGGTTTACGACCGCGATTAGCAAGCTATGAAATAAAACAAAATTGTGATTTTAGATACCCACATTTGGAAGTTCGTTTTAGATTCCCGGGTTATTATCAGGGTTTATGTGATATTCTCAATGAAGAGTGTTACAAAAGTGTAGCACAATTTCATTCTGATGCGGGCAAATGTAGCGTTGAACAAACATGCAGGGCAATTTTTGAACGTATGCATGTAATAATTAGCGAAAGATTAATCAAAGAACAAATGGAACTTTATATACACAATTGGTATCATCCCGATCAGTTTATGCTTTTAGAATTGGATCATAAGGGTCGAGCTGTACCTCAAAAAATTTCAAAAAAGTAAAACGGTTTTTTAATCATTTTTTATAGCACGGACGAGTATGTAACGATTCAGCAACCCTGTGATACGGTGTTGGAAGATGAACCTTTGAGCACCTATAAGATTATACACAAAGATGATGAATTTTTTGATTTTTATTTACGCGTTGCTAAGGAACAGGACATACAACCGGCGGGCGGTCACTATTTCCCCACTATAATCTCAAATGGAATTGTGAAAACGATACCGAGTTTCTATATCTATCTTATAGCAGTGAATTTGACAGATGATGGCAACCGGTATATGACTGTTGGTGTATTGCATTGGTTGTTGGGAATTTATGCTGAAGTTGATATCGATTATCGGATATACCCCCAACCGTTTGAGACGTATAAGGGTAAAAGGGGGAAAGGACCGATCTATTTACCCTGTGTAACGTTTGGTCATACGGATTTTAGCGTGAATTTTACGGTCGGTAGGGATACTTTGACGGTGGCCGAGGCTAAAGATTTTGTTTCCGGTATTGTGGACACTTTAATTACACATCTAGCAAAACAACGGGGTTTGAATAGAGTGTATAGTGACGTGGTGCAAGAATTAGAATTGGAACATGGCTTGTGTGTATCAAACCGGTTGATGCAAATTATGCTGTATCACCATCATTTAGTTTGGTTGACACAGGATTGGATTTTAGAAAATTGCGGTTGTGCAAGAAACGATCAAATTTGTTTTTGTTCAATATATACACCTTTGGACATAATAAAGTGTCGCAAGTTATATTTTAAAGACGCTGGGTTGTTGGTCAGCAATGAGGTGTACTTTGCCACCACGTGATCAAGATGGTATGGTATTGTTTAAGTATTTGAAATCGTTGGATCTAACGTTTGGCGCTATAACACGATGTGTATCGCTATACGCTTATGAACATTTGTATTGCAATGTACTATATTGGTTTTATATTACTGAAATAAATAAAACCAATCATGGTTATCTTTACCGTGTGACATTTCGAACTTTGGATGGTTTTGCACATATTCATGCAACGGTGGAAATCAAGTGCTTACCCAATATTGAACAGGAAAGCGGACAAGTAATGTTTTCCACGATGGGTATAAGAAACTATGACATTGAAAGATGTATACAAGTAGTGTTTTTAAATGATATATTGAACGATAGATATATGATAATATTTAAAAACATTATGAGCTATATTAAACAACATATTTTACTGTCAGGGAGTGATTATGAGGGACACATTCATAAACTGCGTTTGGACATAGTTAGTAAATTTGAGACTGTAGTATCGCCATATTTAATACGTAAAATACATGATGCGATGAAAAAAATGTTTAAAAATATGTATTGGTTAGATGATGTAGAATGTCGTTGTAGACTTATTCGCGAGGGTTGTAAATGTAAAAAAACAAATCAGCATTTTGTAGCGTTATTTTGTAAACATAATATGTGGGATGATTTTTAAAATAAAAAGAAAAAAGTTTAAAACATTGTGTGTGTGTTTTAGTTTGTTTTTGAACATTGCGAGAGATGGAGGGTTTGTTTCAAAGGAAGCATAATCAATTGTCGTATGATGAGACAAATTTACTTGAAAATTGTAAAAAAGAAATAGCATCTCGTATTACACACGTGATAGATTGCGAAGCGTACACGAATAAGAAGAAGACGTATCTTCGTGAAATTTCCGTATATCGTGTAAAAACGGGTGAATATTCATCTTTTCAAGTATTTACACCGTTTGTACCGTTTAACGAATATGATTATACAATAGATTATCAAATTAAGAAAATACATGGTTTACCAATGGTCCATAGTCGTTTAACACCGGATTTTTATACATTAAAAGAATCGATGGCATTTTTGACAAAGGAATTTATGGACGGCGCTGATTTAGTAGCTTATAAGGGTGGTGATATCGAAAGAAACTTGTTGAATAATATGGGTACGCGCTGTATTAATCTCGAAGTATTAGGCTGTCCGAAATATGTGGATCTTTTGACCATGTATGGTCAAACACAGGAGTGTTGCCAGTATCATATTGCCGCTAATTATCATTGTTCAAAACACGAAGTAAAAATGTTTGCAAATTATATCTATTCACTTTTGGTTTGAGCGCGATGGCCTGTTTAGAACCCCTGTCCTATTTGTTGGAACATGATCCGTATCATCCTATATTATGGCATTTATATTCGACATGTCGATATTTACGATGGTATAAGCCCGTGATGCATGAGAATCAAGAAACGGTAATTAAAAATAATGCGGTAGCGGAAAATTTTTGGATGGGGGGTTCCTTTGAGACGTTGCGAGATTTTATAGCCGTCGACGATCAGATCGATTCAGATGATGAAATCGAAAGCGATAATCCTGAAACGCCTGAAAAAAAATGGTCGAATGTTACACGTACGGCCGTTGTTGCAGTCGATACGGAAGATGAAAATAAGGGAAAGCAGCTGTTTAGCATACCCATCGAATGGATACCCCGAGTAGCGATACGCAATAACAAGATGGTTTTGATGCCCTTTGAGTTCTGTTGTCGTGAAGTTATAGTACGTTCGCGAACGCAATTGATACGCTGTCAATCGCTGACCATACCCAAAGAATACTATTGCGATAGACATTTTTTTCACGTGGGGTGTGGGGGTTGTACCACCGAAGGTTCCAGCGACGTGCAAGTGTTCGCAGCAACGCATCTGTACGTCGGGTTAAAAACAATAATGAATTATTTGAATACAAATATGTACATGAATAGCGGGGAAATGTTGGCGGTTTTGGAATCTAATGACACATGTCTTAATTTTTACGAAGAGTCTTTTGATGATGAAAATCAACAAATATATACTATTACTTCTATTAAAGGTACGACCATACGTAAATATTTAGCACATATCGTAGTCTGTAAATATTGTATACGTCATTTGGGCGATTTTTTAAGTTTACTCGATCAAAGCGTGGCACATCACCCATGCCCCGATCACGTGGACATAGATTGTGACGGGTATAATAAGTTGGGTCTACCCATACGTAATTATATACTAGATGCTGATTTTGATATGCTCATGTCGAAAGCATATTATGGTATTATAGATGACGGATCATCTAAACCCTGTAAATATGTGGACGATTTTATGGACAATTTTGTCATAAAATATGATTGATTATTCGGGTATATTTGACAGTTTGATGCTATTAAATAATTTGTACGTATTAAAAGACGGTGATGTTGTAAAGGGGTATGCCCTTATAGGGTCGTCATATAATTTACTTCAACTGTCGCGTTTGTTTAAGGTGTGTCGTTTAAAAGAACGTCATCGAACGGGTTTTATTCATTTTGTAAAGTCAGAGCAAATAATTCTGAAACAAAACGAAGATCAATTTTTGGCAATTGCTATATAGAAATAATATGGCCACGTCGACAAAAACGCATTATTTTGAAACGGGAAGTAATGAAATTAAACTTGGTAATTATTTAAAAAGTTTGATCGAAAAGGGTGATCTAACATATTATCGTTATGCTGTGATACCCACAAAGAAACAGATGTTGAGTGAAAAAAAAGATCGTTGTATCCCTCGCAAGTTGTGTGTGGTGGTTCAATTCGAGAAGCGAATGAGTCCCCTGATGCTACGTAGACAGTTTGCAGGTGCACATATTTTTATAGCGTCATTAACTGTCGTGGGCAGACCGATCGTGTTATCCCTGATGCGTTTATGGGTGCTTTGTGAATGTCACGGGTTACATTACGCGCAAACGGCTCATTCCGATACAGGCTTTGGTTTTGGCGGTAAAAAAAACAAAAGATGAAGTAAATGTTATGAAACCCTATGTTTTCGCCTTAAGTGATTATAAAAATTGTGAAAAAGCTAATTTTAGATATAGTTATTTACAGGGGGCGTATAAAATATGTAAATATAAATTAATGTTGGAACGAAAATTGGACAAACAATCTGTATGATCATATATGGTCATAGACATTTATTATATAATCTGTAGTTTTTAGTTTTCATTTTTTAGTTGTGATGTTGCTGTTAGAGCAGCGACATCTTTTATGGCGTTGTGCAAAATTTAAAAATAATAAAATGGTTTTTTAACACCTCGTAGACTCATCTTTCCAATTATGAATATTTGCATGTTGCATTTATTCACTTACAAACGTGCGAAGTTTAAGGGAAATCTACGTGGGGGGCAATCAATCAATTTATATATAAGAGGTCGTGATGGTTATTAATGTTTAGTAGCGATAAGCAATTGGCCAAAAGCAAGTTGCGAAAAGGGTTGATAATTAAAAAGAGACGTGTAAATAAGTATACAGTGAATTGTAATAACACGTCGTAGAAGAAAAATTCTGGTGGATTTTCAACTACGCATCGGTGATAATACAAGCTTGAAGAGAAGATAAAACACGCGTACATAAAAGGTAATTTTTTATTGATGATATTGATAAACTACAGGCATATGATTTATGGGTTTTCTACCCCCCGAAGCTATACGTCCTCCTTTTTGAGTAGCACCACGTCTTTGTCTTTCTTTCATTCTTTCCACTTGTTTTTTGCGTTCTAATGTATAACTTTTAACTTTTCTCGTTTTTCGTTTTACCACATTTTGACCCTTTAGAACGGCGGATGCGACAGCATTCTGTAATATATCACCAATTCTAAGACCCGGGGGTTTTTGTCCCGTTGGGGGTGCCACCGTACCACCATATTGTCTGGATCGACGGGGTCTTCTTCTGGTAGCATCGGGGAATATGCCGGGATTTATTTTAAAATTATGTCTCTGTCTCTGTCCGGGTTGAACCATTCTTGTACAATATGATATCGTGTATGAAATGTTTTTTTGGTCACAAATGTGTTTTATAACCAGTATTCATTGCCATAATCAATAAAAATTTCTGAATGTGGGGGGATATTTTTTGAGGATTTTAAACGAAATAATTGATTACCGATCACGCGTCCGTTATATTGAAACGGACTATTTCTAGCATCGTTTGCAAACCTTGCAGCCCCGTCCGTACTATGATTTGCATCCACACATATCCCCTTTCTGTTACATATGGTATATTTTGCCGTTTGCTGACCGTATTTTCGATCTATTTGTTCGCGGGTACGGCGACGACCCGTAAACTTTGAAATAACTCTATTTTTGGGTATGGCTTTTTTCCAACTGTACAATCCTTTACCGGCAGTGCGTATTTGCGAGGGTTTAATTCGTAAATTATCTTGTTTTGCTAAATGAATCCAACATTTTGGCGTGTGCGCTGTACGTTTGCGACATTGTCTTTGTAATAATGTATTGCTTACGCATTGTTTGGATTTACGAATACTTTGGGGTGCTTGATACACCCTTCTTCTTCTACACTGTTAAAAAAAGTTCCGTAATTTTACAGTAAAAAGTACTGGCAGCTGGGACGCCAGAGAAAGTACTGTAAATTTACAGAAAATATTTTTACAGGGAATTCTGTAAAAAAATCCGTAATTTTACAGTAAAGAGTACTGGCAGCTGGGACGCCATATAAAGTACTGTAAATTTACAGAAAATATTTTTACAGGGAATTCTGTAAAAAAATCCGTAATTTTACAGTAAAAAGTACTGGCAGCTGGGACGCCATATAAAGTACTGTAAATTTACAGAAAATATTTTTACAGGGTAATTCTGTTTTATTGCCGTAAAACGGCTGTAAATCAAAATCTTGTCGTTTCACTGTGAAAATACTGACGGATGGGAATATCGAAGAAAGTACTGTAAATTTGAAAATCGTTTTACCAAAAATCTGTGTATTACGCAAAAAAAGGCCGACATCATGCTTGAACACCCTTTGTATATTTAGAAAGAAGTTTACAATGGATCTTATTCCACTTTCCACGGCACGAGCAACATGAAAGTACACAAATTACGTACTTAATTAAAATAATAAATGTATAAATATTATACCTCAAAACAATATTTCCACAATATACATATAATATGTGAACTCATGAACCAAATTTGAAACCCTTTCTAACATTACAGTTGATTTCACATATACTTTTATGAATATTGCGTACTTCATTCCGAACTTCGTTGTGAAGTTCAAAAGTTCACACTGAAATTCACAATATGGTTTGTAAACAAAGCCTCTGATTGGTCCCTGAACAAAAATAAGCCAACCAAATGCACTGTTTACACACCGGTTTGTGAATATGATTATGAACTTTTGAATTTCGCAACCAAGTAATAGCAACGAAGTTCGCAACATTCAGGGAAAAGTTATGTGAAATCATAGCCTATATCGAAGGAAAGATGGCTGTGAAACTCATCAGAATAACAATATAACTCATTATCTATGTTGCTCAACGTTTATTCATAAATCTGGTGGTTTCACCGTCACATGCATGTATTGTATTTTTACCAAATCCACCAATAGCAATTTCCAGTTCCCTATTCGAATCACGGATAGGTGACTTTCCTAAAACATTGCTATTGGTTATATTTGGGCAAAAATACAATACACACGTGACGGAGAAACGACCAGATTTATGAATAAACGTTGAGCAACATAGATAATGAGTTATATTGTTATTCTAATGAGTTCCACAGCCATCTTCCCTTCGATATAGGCTATGATGAAATCAACTGTAAAACACAAGTACTATGCAGTAGTTGCTATTGTTAAAAATATGTTGTTACAATATTGAAATTGAATGCAGTATATAGGTTATCATAGGTTGTTGGAAAGGAAATGTTAATTTCAAATTCGATTTCAAAAGTTTTACTTCTTGGGACACTCTGCAGTATATCCAGCTTTCTTAATGTATATACAGTCTGTACAATAAACTCAACAAAACTAACCATGCAAGTTGTACGATGTCTGACCAATATACAGAACTGAACAAATGTAACAAAACTACAGAATTAATATTGCAAATCGCAAGTTCATGTTTAACGTTTAAACAAATGTTACATTTCAATATACGCCATGAAAATGTCAATAAAGAAATTACAAAACCCACTGACTCGCGTGATCTTTGAGACAATTAGCCAGTGAGAGGACCTTTGGATTCACAGTGTGCTGCTTCCCCTTTGTCTTCGCTCTCTTGTTTCCTCTGTTAGGATTAATGTCAACAAAACATCTATGGTAACAAGTTAAAAAAAGAGGTATATAAAAGTGTTGAAGTGTACAGATTTAATTTCTGTTTTTTTTTGCACATTGCTAAAATATTTCAAATTTACACAGTATATTGGACTGTACCTCTGAATAAACTCAAGTGTCGCTGCAACTTCATTGGGATACATTATGTTGAGCACGAAGTACGACGCAAACAACATCATCATTCCTTCTGTGATTCCGTTAATCGATTGATTAACCATAACCTCATCGACCACCAACCCACATCTCTTGGCTTCGAACACTTCTCCTATATATAAACAGCATTTGTTATACCATGCAGTTAAATCTTTTTTGATGCAGTGCAAATAATTTCATTTACAATACTTAAGCCGGTTACATACGAGCGAGTTTTCTGTGACAAGTTTTTATGTGACAAGTTTTGTTCGCTCGTCTGTGCGCGCAATTTTGTTCTATGACAAGTACACTTGTTCAAAAGCTAGCATGCTAGCTAGCTATAGCTTGAATAAGTGCACTTGTCATTGAAAAACTGTCAAAGTACAAATTTTGTTCGTCTGTATGGATCAACAAAGAAAACAAGTCAAAGTACACTCTGAGCATTTGATGTAATTGGCCATCGGATTTTTATCATGTTACTGTCATGGCGGCGATAAACACCTTTTTTCTGACACGCTCACATCCGTAAACAAAATTGTCGTATGAAAATTTGTCATAGAAAGCGTTTAAATGATATCAAACTATACTTTATGTCATGTCTAAAAACAGTAATAAATTTACACTTACCAAATACAGCAATGAAAGGTGTACTTGGAATCTTGGAGTCCGACACAACATCTTCAACTGTCGCTGTTTCCTGGAATGACAACAAAGAAGTGCAAATTCATGAGAACTTAAAACGTAATGTGCTTGATTTGATTCATACTGTGTCAACACAATAAGGTATATATAGGGCGGGCGTTAGACAAACTATAATAGCAAAACTAGGGCACACCACGGCACATTGCACCTTAATGGAATCACAGCAGCCAAAATACCAACCAGACTGCCAATCACGATTCCTGTTAGCATGAGCTTTTGGCCAGATAAGATTACAGTTAGAAATTATAGTTAAGTAATTAAAGCAAAAATAATGACAGAACAAGCAACAAAATTGGATCCAATCCAATGAATCCATTGGACATGCATATGTCCAGTGGACATTTGAGCTGTCCATTGGATCCAATGGACAGTCATACTGTATGTCCACTGGACATTTCATATGTCCATTGGACATTTGCGTTAGTATTGGACATGTATGAAGTTATCTTAATTTTGTTGCTTTTACTTCTTTATATTCTGTGACTTTGCCCTATACTCACAGTAACTATCTATTTCACAAAGCTAAAATCAGGAAATATGATTGCCTTACATCATAGCTTCTTATCATCATATCTTCTGGTTCTCCAAAGTATGCAAGTAATAGTAAATATACCCCAGCCATTTGAGGAATTTTGCTCTCGTCCAGGGCCATAGCGGTATCAATCTCCAACAAGGACTCTCTCACTTTCTTTTTGCTCGGATGCTCTTGCTTCATAAAATCATAGATGACACTTGCTTTTTCTTCAAGACTACGTTGCAATATAACCTGGAGGTTGAATCCCATAAGCTCCTCAAAATGTTGCAACATCATGTCCGTTTCGAAAAGAAATGGCCACTGGTCTTTAATTTCCATAATCGAAGGCACGTTGGGCTTACTCCTATTGATAAGCAAACGTTGGGACGCGTACGTTTGTTTCATAAACAGGGAGACTTTTTCCATATCTCTATCTTTCTTTGGAAACTCTGAGATTAACCATTCTTCTTTCTCTTTTTGACTCCATCGCTTTCATTTTGTGGGAAAGAATCTGGTTGCCAGTTGACGCATCCATAGGAATCAGAGATGGGTTGTTTCCCTGTCTTTCCTTTAGGAGTCGAATTATCATCACGTGATGTATTCAATCTCATAGTAAGCGACACAGACTTATTATCCTTTCTCAATTCATTGTACAGCCGTTCCTCCATTTGCTTGCGAAATGATTCAAAACCAGAGCCAACAACTGAACCCCCAAGTTCATCTTGGAACGATTCGGTGTATTTTTCTACCACCGTTTCTGCAATCTTGGAAAGGGTCTTTCGCCCAGGGAAGGCACAGTGTTGTTGAATTTCTTCACAAAGGATACGTACCATCTCTCGCCGATATTTTGGCTGTGGTCGAACTTTGTTTTCACAAGCTTCAAGTATAGCCTTGGGGAATTTGTGCCAAGGGATTTTGAAGTTTGCAACCCAGTTTGCAGTCTTGGAGACACTCGTTGGTTTGGCAGTGTTGCTCTCTCGTCTTGGTTTTTGTGATGGTGTAATTTCGGTATCACTAGGAGTGCTGCAACGTGAAGTTGATGGAGAGTCAAACAAGCTGTCGCTTTTGTCTGACAAATTTCCACTGGAGTCATCTTTGTTGAGGGACAACTCGTGCGTTTGGAAACTCTTAGCTATATTGTGTAAATAAACATTACAGCGGATCAAAATGTGCACTTGCTCAAAATGGAGTTTGCATAATTCTCATACAAGATTAGCCTAGCTCTTTGGCCTTCCAACACACACAGGGAAATTGTTGGTTGTCTACCGTTCCAAAAGTTCTGATTGCGCAAATACTTACTGTAGGACACTAACAAAACAAGAAGAGACAAATGACCCCAGAAGAGCAAATTAGTCTTGGCTTTATATGCAGTCAAAATTTGGGGTTATACAGTATGCCGTTTGCCCAGCCACGTTACATGTGAAATTTCCCTATTTGGGGCTAATGCTCCAATTTAAATTAATGTGGCTCGATATATTGATTCCACAATATCCATTGTGCAATTGTCGCATGGACAAAATGTTTACTATGTGAACAAACCAGTGTAAATATCTGGTACCTATCTTCAAATTTTGCATACTGAATTGTATTGCAAAAAGTCTTTCATTATATCGAAACAAGGGAGCACGCCAGAAATATTTGTGTAAATTTATATTAACCTTTTAATTACATGTGAATGTTTTCAATTTTCATCGGGCGCCATTTTGAATGAATGTTGAAAGTGGTATATATTATTAGCTTATCGCAGGCGCAATAATTTATGTTCATCTTTGACATTAATTTATGTTACACGATGATACTCCGAAGGGCGACCGAGAAAGATCCGAAATTTAAAATAAGGCAGAGAAATAATAAAAAATAAAGAGGGGAGTGAAACGGCTGAACTATTATCCACTGATGCTGGTTGACTGTTGCTAGGCGCATTTGATGTTGCTAGGAACAAACCGGAAATAAAATGAGACCTACTATTACGGGAGTAAAACCACTGAGTATTTAACCACTGAGTATTTTAACGGTAACTCCGAAAATAATTTTTTTTTATTATTTTCGGATTTACCGTTGTTTTATATTTAAGCGAGTCACAATAGAATATATTATTAAAATTGGGGACAATGGCGAGAGTTTGTATATCAGATAAACATCGGCTGCTCATGTTTTAACGTGCTTAAAAGACGACCCATCATATGAGTTCATTGGCGAAGTAATTTTAAAAATAAACATTGTCTAAGCCGAGAAAATCGAAGCTGAAGTTTATGTAAATGAGGACAATTTACAAATCTTTTATCCGATCGATTTACATACATTGATTAAACATTCATTTCTTTTGAATTTTCTTCATGAATTATTAATACTGTATTTTGTGTCCAGCATTCGCAAATGTTTTTGTTTCTCTGCTGTCGAAAATTCGCTGCTGGCAAGCAACGATGCAAATCAATTCAAGTTTTGATATATTTCAGATTCGACAGTTCTTGGTCAACGAGCATGGCCAGATAACGAAATTGGATATACGCATTGTCATTGGCCAATACCCCATCACGTGTCCGGCCGCTTCACTCCCCTCTTTATTTTTTATTATTTCTCCGCCTTATTTTAAATTTCGGATCTTTCTCGGTCGCCCTTCGGAGTATCATCGTGTAACATAAATTAATGTCAAAGATGAACATAAATTATTGCGCCTGCGATAAGCTAATAATATATACCGGTTTCAACATTCAAAATGGCGCCCGATGAAAATTGAAACATTTACATGTAATTAAAAGGTTAGTATAAATTTACACAAATATTTCTGGCATGCTCCCTTGATCGAAAATGACTTTTTTTACCTGTTTAAATAAATTGGCATTACTTAACAGAATTTTTATATTTTGCTCATTTTTAGAAAAATAATGCACAAAAAATCGGGGTACCGTGCTATTTTTCGAACCACAGGAACCAACAGGCCAGCTTAGCGTGAATTCTTTACATGCATGCCATAGCAATGAATGTGTTACAAGTACTAACATAATTTGAAAGAAAATTAAAATATATGAACATCTCAAAATGAAAATCCATCGTATAAAACCTAAAAACATGAAGTTTAAAAGTGCCAAACTGTCGTACAGTACACTTGAATGTTTTAAAAACTGTATGGAGCCACCTTAATTGCTTTTCCATCATTTTATGGTATTAGACAATAACACAGACACACACATATACGTACTGAAGTGATTGCTGGGTAACCACTTAAGTACTGTGGACCCAGAGATAAAAACACGAAACATCTATAAAACTACTGTACAATATAGACCAGAGGTGTAACTTAACACTTGCCCTCGGCAAGCGAATATAATGACGGGCAAGTAAATGTTTTATCTTGCTTGCCCGATTGGGAAAGTTGCCTTGCCACAAAAATCTGGGCATCTTTAACTTTATGTTTTCATTGTCAGATACATTTTTTATAGTGCATGTACTTGATTCAAATTTTGTTTCTTGTGGGGCAAGGCTAGATCTGAGGCAGTCCATAACAAACTGTAGCCATATAAGGCAGTGGGAGAGCAGATCGATACGTAATTGCCCTTTTAATTTATACCCGAGTGGCGAGTGCCCATTGTGTGATGGCAAGTGAATTATATTCTGGGCAACTAACCTTCATGTCCAACTTGCCCAGAGGGCAAGTGGACAAAAAAGTAAAGTTACAACACTGTAGACCTGTATAAAAGTCTGCTCTATGGTGATGGTTGCAGATAAATGGGTACTCTGCATGGCTATTTCTTGTGCATAATTGGCAAAATTGCTCTGTTTATCAGCAAGCCACATCACAAAGCAGACCCTTCATGAAGGTCTACCGTATATGAATCTGCCTACCAGCCCAAGCAGAAGTATACTGTATGTAATGTGAGCAGACTGGAAAGTTTGAGAATTTTACACATTGAGATTGCCTGCCAAAATTCAATTGCACAATACAAATTTTCCAGTCTGGCAATGTGATTATTGAAAGGGTGCATTGTGCAAAACAGTAACAAACCTGCAATGCGCAGCTGTGTAATTTTCCGTATCTGAATTGGTTTTAACACATCAGAAAGGTCCTGTTCTTGAACCAGTTGCATGTCATCAACATCAGAAACTCCAATATCAACTAACTTCTCCTTTACATTTTCAAGTGTTTCTTGAGACAAATTTGGCAATGTTTCTTTGATTAATTTCATAATTGCATCCATTTCTAATTATTATCTACATCAATAACAAGAAATGGTAGTGGCATAATGACTTAATTATAATTTTACATGACTTAATTTTACAGCACTTCAGTGCTAGTATATTTTGCTAACACGATTTGCGCGTACTCGCGAGTCGAACGAGTACTCAAAGCACTCGCGAGTGACTCACACGAGTGTATGTTACTCGAGGACGGTACTGTAATTAACCCATTAACTGGCAGTGCTCTACCACTGATGAGTAAAGTCTTGTGGCGTTAGACAGAGTAAATAATAAAGGTAGGGCGCATCTGGGCGCATTGCCTGTTAATGGGTTAAACATTCAATACCTATCATACAAGCCAAATTGAAGATGTAAATATTTTGTTTCTTGTAACACAATTTTATATTAACAATTATGTACCTATATTCAAGAAAACTGAGACTATGCAGGATGTACTGTATATCACTTTACAGTATATCAATAATAAAAGCATTTTGGTCACTCCCCATCAATTCAACAGTTTGCCTGCTAAGAGCCATTACTGTTGTTGGCATAACAATTAACAACTGTGTTCAAGTGAATTATAGTTTACTCATGTTGGGGGCCTAGGATGAGGCACATGCGCCATCAGATATACTGTAGCATCTTTTGTCTTTGCCACAGGTGTGGTAGTTCCCACCCAAACACCCACCCACCCTTGTGATTGGAAACATCAAGTTGTTGTGGTATATAACACCTGTGTACAATATGCACCGTCCACAAAGAAAAATAAGTAAAAATGACATTAGGTAGATGTTAGACTTGGAGTTTTAATTGTGTAAGTTGTATATTTTGTGAGGAAAAGTTGTGAATTTAAATAAAGGCACTGCTACACTTGCGGTGGCAGACTACATGGCAATCCAGGGTGAGAATCTGGAGTCAGTTGTTCAAAAGCCGGTTAGCTTAACCCTAGGTTAACTTAAAATTCAAAGCATACTTCCTAACAGCTTGTTTATAAATTTGGAAATATTTCTTCACAAAACATGTCTGGATCAATAGGAGTTTTCTTTTCTGACATTTTGAAATAAATGGACATGCAGAAATACGCAAACTAAAACAGCGGGTTAAATTTTAACCCTGGGTTAGCACTGATCCACCTTTGAACAACCGGCCCCTGGTGTATAATTATTCCGTTTTAATAAATTACTTTGTCAAACAGTGTTCATGCCAATAGACAATTACAGTAAGTGACAAGTTTGAACTAATTGAAATCATTTCAATCATGTGAATGCAGGTATTAAAAGCATCATAGGACTAATACTCTAATATATGGATATAAAACATAGGTTTAGACCTGAGCTCAGGCTCAGCTGAAGTACTACATTTTATATACAGTGATAGTGTGTTAAAAATGATTTTCGTATGATGGTAGGCACATATTGTTTCGAACTTTGATGTTACCAATCTAGAAAATGTAATTTTACATGTTTAAAACTGTTGCTCTACAGTACAGCACAAGTATAAATATGTATTACTGTAAAGATCAGACAAGTATGGTCCACTGTGACCGTGCAGCCTGCTCAATTTGTGGCCAACTGCTAATCACACAGAAGCAAGAAGCCAGCCCGAAGTTGGTCATACAATGCAAATTTGTAATCTGTACATTATTCATTTATTAATAATAAATGAATAATGATACTGAATACTGATTACAAATTTGCATTGCATGACCATCTTCGGGCTGGCATTATTGATTGTTTTCAGTTTATGAACACGAAATTTCTCACCATTTGCAAACTTCATAATTATACATGATTTGCACTTGTATATCAGAAAAATATGAATGACTTTACATTGGAGATTAATACGGATTAATAAAATGACAAGTTACCTGGTCCAACCGCAATTTTATGTCCACAAACGCTGAAACAAAGCAAATTTGTAACGGACTCCAACCACGTATTAAAAATGGAGGGAAGAGAAAACGCGTGTGTACCACAATGCATTACAAGATTTTTACACGCGTTTTCTCTTCAGTGCTTCCATTTTGAAGGAAATTTTCTTTTTGAAAAAAAGGTCGGGTAGGAGGTTAGGCAACGTTAGGGGTTTAGGGATAGGGATTGTCGCGAATTCACTATGTTAATAAATTTGGACGTTTTTAAGAATTTACTGATATAATAAATTCAAACGTGGAGCTTATGCTGGAAAATTCAAGGGGGGGGGGGGCAGACCACCTTGCTTATTCTCCTTCGTGTTAATCTAGCTTATCTAGGTAAACTATTTGTCTCTCCCCTTTGATAAACAGCTCCTACAACGTCCATCGGTCCATGTTCCTTCTAGAACAAGAAATACCCCGTTATTCGAGATAAGTTACTATAAAATCAGTTTTAAATTTAATATGTATAAAAATTCAATTTTTACTGCAAGGAAATTTTTTCAAAAATAAGGAAATTTCGAACGGCTGGAAGGAAATTATGTTTTTTTGAAAATGGAAGCACTGTTTCTCTCCCTCCATTTTGTAAAGAAATCTTCTAGTGGACATCTTGGTAGTAAACTGTGGCAAATTTGTGTGTTTGTGGACTCAAAACTGCTGTTGGGCCAGGTAAATTGTTAGTTGTTAATAGAAATCTCCAATGTATTATCCTCCATATTCTAGTTATGTACAAGTGCAAATCATGTTTATATCGATCCCAGACCTTGAAAGGTTATGTTCAGCATTACAAACTCCACTCAAACGAAGCGAATATTAGATTTCCATGTGCTATTCAGGGTTGTGTAATGCTATTTCGCACTTACAATGCGTTTAAGTCTCATATGACTAGACATCATCAAAATCACAGGGTTGAAAAATTTCGATCTTTTGACATATCTGACAACATAACTGTAGTACAGTGCCCGTTTAGTTTTTGTGCCAAAATTTCACAAAATTTGAAAGACTTCCTGCAGCATCTAAAAGCTCACATAGTGCAAGGTAATGAAGTGCTGTGCCCTTTTGAAGGATGTAGTTTAACATTTAGGGTGAAATCGTCGTTTTCCTCTCATCTAACTCGAAACCATAAAGCTTGCTCAAACAGACGAGTGCACTCTGACTTACTTATACATGAAAGTGAACATGATACTCATAACCAAAATTTTAACCAAGAAATTGACATAGATGAGGTAACACTTAACAATCTTGATATTGACAATAGTGAACAGGAAAATGAAGTTGAAGAAAATCTGAGTGAGCTGTTACTAAAAAATTTGGCTCTTTTTTATTTAAAACTGACTGCCAAGCACCATATGCCTGCCACGACTGTCCAAATGGTGATTTGTGAAATTCAAGCCATGCATGGTTTATCCCAAAATTGCATGAAACAGCATATTGAGAAAAAAATGAAAGAAAAATTAATTTCTGACACTGACATAAATGACATAACAGAGGAATTTTCAGTAAACGATATCTTTGATACAGTTCATGCTGACAAAGGACCACTAAGTACTGAATATAGAAGAAAACAATTTTATAAGGAAAACTTCAATTATGTTAACCCCATAGCAATATGCCTAGGACATGATAAAGATAATATTAAACGACACTTTGAGTATGTCCCTGTCATTGAAACAATTGAAAATCTTTTGAAGGACTCCAGTGTTAAAGAACAATTTCAAAACCCACTTCCATCCCAAGAAGGGGTTTTAAGGGATTTTATGGATGGGTGTGTAGCAAAACAAAATCTTCTTTTCATTGAGCTACCTAATGCCATTAAGATAATTCTCTACCAAGATTCCTTTGAAGTTGTGAACCCTTTGGGAAGTGCAAAAAAGAAACACAAAATTTTAGGAGTTTACCTTACTTTGGGCAACATTTATCCCCAAAACCGTTCCAAAATTGATCAAATGCAACTTGTTTTGCTTATCAGAGAAGTTGATTTTAAGTACTTTGGGCAGGAAGCTGTGTTCCGTGTGCTAGTTAAGGACCTTAAGAAAATTGAGGAGACAGGTGTGCATTTTGAGAATGAATATGTCCGTGGAACAGTTGCCATGTTCCTCGGTGACAATTTGGGTAGCCACTGCATTGCTGGTTTTGTAGAAAATTTCAGTTCATGTGTATATATATGTCGATTTTGCTTAATGGAATCAGAGGCATTTATTTCTGGTAACATTTATGATATCTATCCTCAACGATCACCAGAAAATTACAAAGAGGACTTAGCAGAGCTTGAGAAAAATCCAGTCCTAAATAATTACCATGGAATAAAATTTGACTCAGTTTTTAATGAACTTGAATATTACCATGTGTGTAGCCCAGGCTTACCCCCTTGCCTTGGCCATGATCTTTTTGAGGGTGTTGTCCATTATGACCTGGCCCTTTTCATAAAGTACATGGTAAAAGATAAGAAGTTCTTCACATATCCATATATCAATCAAAGAATAGCTACGTTTAAGTACAAGGGAAGTGATGCCAATAACAAACCTGGCACTCTTAGTGACCAAGGTAATAAACTTGGTGGACATGCTGTCCAGAATTGGTGCTTTCTTCGGCTTCTTCCACTTCTAATTGGTTCCAAAATTAGTGATACTTCTGATCCAGTATGGAAGTTGACACTTTTACTCAGAACTATCATAGAAGCTGTATGTGCCCCTGAAATAACATTGACCCAAGTAGCATTCTTAAAAGTTAAAATTGAAGAATATTTAGAGCAGCGCTTCTTCCTTTTCCCCGAAAATGCATTAAGACCAAAGCATCATTATTTAGCCCATTATCCAAGGTTAATATTGCAGTTTGGACCATTGATCAGAGTGTGGACACTTCGCTTTGAAAGTAAGCACTCATATTTCAAGAAGTGTGCTAGATATAGCCAAAATTTCATTAACATCTGCCATACGTTTGCCGAACGCCACCAGCTTTTACAAGCATATCTGAGCAATGGGTCCCTTTTTAGTGTTAGTGTTAATGTTGACAATGCAATTCCATTTAATGTGGGTTTGTATAATGACAAAATTAGGAATGCATTTATGGCTCACCACACTTCATCTGAGGCTGTTGTTACTTCTTTAAAAGGCAAAGTTAATGGAATCAACTACGAGAAAGATCTTTACATTGTTATTGAGTGTAGTCGGTACACATTAGTCTTAGGCTGTATTGTTATGCTTTTTCAGCATTGTACTGCTGCTATTTGCTTTTTAGTAAAGAAAGTCGACGCTGAGTATGATAATGAAATGGGATATTACAAAATAATTCAAGCTGGAGAGCCAGTATATGAGTGTGTTAGTTTATCAAGTCTAAAATCACACTGCTGTCTACCAGCTTACAGGGTAAATAATGTAAATGATGAGGTCGTTGTGCTTAAGCATGCAATCTTAGAGTCTTAAAGTAAAAGTCTCATGCTCTAAAGAATTACTTGAATAATGTATGGGAATGACTATAATATTATACCAATTGACAAGAGAGTATTAGGTTGCCACAAACCCTATCTTTTTATCATGGCAAAAATGTTCAATTAAGGTTGGGCAAAGTGGTGCAGGGATATATGAGTGGACAGAATGGTATATGGTGCAAATTGGAAACTTATTTAATTGAATAATTTTTGGAATAAGAGAAAGTTACTTGTAAATCTAAAGATACAGATACAGTGCACATGTTTCCATTGAGTTTCGGCTTTATGGTGAGGTTTCTCATGATAAGTATTACTGTATATGATACAAAATAACAATTATTTGTCTCAAATTTTCTACCTGGAAAAGAAGATCGTAGTTTTTGCTTCTGGTTTACTGTTTATGTTGCATGAAGAAAACTGTTCACAATTTAAAACTTAGGTTTATAGCACTACATTTTTGCCATGCATTATGCCAATACCATTCCCTGTTATTGGTGTAGAGAATATAGAAAAGATGGATGAAGTAATGAGATTAATCAAGGACTTGTTGCCAAATTTGCATCAAGAAACATTTGAAAATGTAAAGGAGAAATTAATTGATATTGGAGTTTCTGATGTTGATGACATGCAACTTGTTCAAGAACAGGACCTCTCTGACGTGTTAAAACCTATTCAGATACGAAAAATTCTACAGCTGCGCATTGCAGGTTTGTTAATGTTTTGCAGTTGCAGTGTGAATGCCCACACGGTAAAATCGTGATGTTTAGTGCATTGTATATAAACTATCATACCTAATGTGACAATTCCGCAAACTCCACACTTTTGAGGGAGTCATTACAGCATTTGCTTTAGGCAGAGAAAAAAACTTTCAAAATACATATATGTATAATTTCATATGTCCTTAACATGTTTTTAATTAGTTAAGAGTCCCCAAACACACAACTTGCCTATTGACAAAGATGGTTCCAGTAGAAATTTGTCAAACAAAAGTGGCAGCTGGTTCGACTCTCCATCAACCTCACGCTGGAAATCCTCCGCTCAAAAATTAAGTGATACTGAAATGACATCATCACAAAAACCAAGACAAGAGAGCAGTACTGCCAAACCAACGAGTGGCTCCAAGAATGGAGTTTGGGTTGTAAACATTACACTCCCTTTGCACAAATTCCCCACGGCCATACGTAAAGCTTGTGAGCGAGAAGTTCAACTAAAGCGCCGGCTGGAGATAGTACAGAAGCAACCCATCTCTGATTCCTTTGGATGTGTGAACGCGCAAAATCAAAGCGATGGGAGTCAAAAAGAGAAAGAAGAATGGTTAATCTCAGAGTTTCCAAAGAAAGATAGAGATATGGAAAAAGTCTCCCTGTTTATGAAACAAACGTACGCGTCCCAACGTTTGCTTATCAATAGGAGTAAGCCCAACGTGCCTTCGATTATGGAAATTAAAGACCAGTGGCCATTTCTTTTCGAAACGGACATGATGTTGCAACATTTTGAGGAGCTTATGGGATTCAACCTCCAGGTTATATTGCAACGTAGTCTTGAAGAAAAAGCAAGTGTCATCTATGATTTTATGAAGCAAGAGCATCCGAGCAAAAAGAAAGTGAGAGAGTCCTTGTTGGAGATTGATACCGCTATGGCCCTGGACGAGAGCAAAATTCCTCAAATGGCTGGGGTATATTTACTAGTACTTGCATACTTTGGAGAACCAGAAGATATGATGATAAGAAGCTATGATGTAAGGCAACATAGCTAATTAATTTTCCTGATTCTAGCTTTGTGAATTAGATAGTTACTGTGAATATAGGGCAAAGTCACACAATATAAAGAAGTAAAAGCAACAAAATTAAGATAACTTGCAACAAATACTGTAGTTGATGATGTCATTTCAGCAAACGTTAATATGTTGGAATCATGTCTTAATGATATTTTGAATATCATGCCGTTTTGTTGCTTGTTCTGTCATTAATTTGTGCTTTAATTACTTAACTATTTCTAACTGTAATCTTATCTGGCCAAAAGCTCATGCTAACAGAAATCGTGATTGGCAGTCTGCTTGGTATTTTGGCTGCTGTGAATGCATTAAGGTGAAATGTGCCGTGGTGTGCCCTAGTTTTGCTATTATAGTTTGTCTAACGCACACCCTATATATACCTTATTGTGTTGACACAATATGAAATCAAGCACATCACGTTTTAAGTTCTCATGAATTTGCTCTTCTTTGTTCTCATTCCAGGAAACAGCGACAGTTGAAGATGTTGTGTCGGACTCCAAGATTCCAAGTACACCTTTCATTGCTGTATTTGGTAAGTGTAAATTTATTACTGTTTTTAGGCATGACATAAAGTATAGTTTGATATCATTTAAGTATATTGTAAATGAAATTATTTGCACTGCATAAAATATTTAACTGGGAAACAAATGCTGTTTTTAGGGGAAGTGCTCGAAGCCAAGAGATGTGGGTTGGTGGTCGATGAGGTTATGGTTAATCAATCGATTAACGGAATCACAGAAGGAATGATGATGCTGTTTGCGTCGTACTTCGTGCTCAACATAATGTATCCCAATGAAGTTGCAGCGACACTTGAGTTTATTCAGAGGTACAGTACAGTATACTGTGTAAATTTGAAATATTTTAGCAATGTGCAAAAAAAACAGAAATGAAATCTGTACACTTCAACACTTTTATATACCTCTTTTTTTAACTTGTTACCATAGATGTTTTGTTGACATTAATCCTAACAGAGGAAACAAGAGAGCGAAGACAAAGGGGAAGCAGCACACTGTGAATCCAAAGGTCCTCTCACTGGCTAATTGTCTAAAAGATCACGCGAGTCAGTGGGTTTTGTAATTTCTTTATTGACATTTTCAAGGCATACATGTATATTGATAATGTAACATTTGTTTAAACGTTAAACTTGAACTTGCGATTTGCAATATTAATTCTGTAGTTTTGTTACATTTGTTGAGTTTATTATATATAGACTGCATGTATATACATTAAGAACGCTGGATATAATTCAGAGTGTCCCAAAAAGTAAACCTTTTGAAATCGAATTTGAAATTAGCATTTCCTTTCAAACAACCTATGGTAACCTGATGCATTCAATTTCAAATGGTTATCTTTTTTGGGACACCCTGTATAAGGTCTTTGAGGCTCGGTTGTTCAAATGCTGCAGGTAAATGAAGGTTTGGTTAATTTCATGGATAAAACAGTTTCTATATATAATCAGAGTTTTACTGTATATGCCAATACCAAAACCGCCTTGCAGCTCTATGACATATATATTTTCTTGTTTTTTAATGTTAAAAAAGGTTTCAAATTTGGTTGGTGTTTTCATTTTGTATATGTAGATCAATGTCAAATAATGAATTCGTTTGAGGTTATACAGTAAATAAATTAATTTACAGTACTTTTCTGTTCCATTGTAGCTATTGTAAATTACGATTACAGTATTCGTACTCTAAAAAATAACAATACATTATTCCGTAAAAACCCAGACAATTATACTTATTTTGTTTTTTATACGGTTCATTATACAGTATTTCTTCTACTGTAAAAAATAACAGTACATTATTCCGTAAAAACAGATAATTATTTATTTTGTTTTTCATACCGTTCATTCTGCTGTAAATTACGATTACAGTATTCCTACTGTAAAAAATAACGCTACATTATTCTGTAAAAAAACAGACAATTACTTTTTTGTTTTTTATACCGTTTATTGTACTGTAAATTACATTACAGTATTCCTACTGTAAAAAATAACGCTACATTATTCCGTAAACAAAACAGACAATTACTTTTGTTTTTTATACCGTCCATTTTACTGTAAAATACGATTACAGTATTCCTGCTGTAAAAAATAACAGTACATTATTCCTTAAAAACCCAGACAAGTACTTATATATATTTTTATACCGTTCATTTTACTGTAAATTACCATTACAGTATTTTTACTGTAAAAAATAACGGTACATTATTCTGTAAAAAAACAGACTATTATTTATTTTGTTTTTTATACCGTTTATTGTACTGTAAATTACGATTACAGTATTCCTACTGTAAAAAATAACGGTCATTATTCTGTAAAAAAACAGACATACCGTTCATTTACTGTAAATTGCGATTACAGTATTCATACTGTAAAAATTAACAGTACCTTATTCTGTAAAAAAACAGATATTTTTAACAGTGTAGTTACAAAACGACCGCTCATACTGCATACACAATTGACACACCGATATAATCGTCGTCGTAATGCCTTTCGATATATTTTATAATATTTTCAATTTTAGTGACAACGTCGGGAGGTACACACGATTCCGTTTGGAATATCTGTAATCTTTGACGTAATACATCGGGATCCACTTTATATATATAATCCTGATCGTGTGCAAAACAACCAAAAGCTTCTACAAATATGGTAGGTGTAAAAATAATACATTTATCGTTATCGCTAACCTCGTAGCCGATTTTATAAAGATCCGTATCATCTTTGTGTTCCCTATTTAATATGTGTACGGAAACGTGTATTTCAAATTCCCCGCTCATTCTCGATTCGAATGTTGCTCGTTCAACACGCTTTGTAGAAATGGGGCAAAAGTGTTTTAAAGGGGGTGAAGATACACCCTGGGTGACATTTAATTGTAATATGGTACAGATTCGCGATAGTGATAATATTGCGATGGATTTTACAGATGGTCGTGATGAATGTAATGAAGACGGTGTAAAAGTGACAAACTGCTGTTGCATTCAATGGCGTCGCAGGATGGTTCAAAACGATCCCGTGATGAACGTGATGAAGATGGGGGAAGTAAAAAGCAAAAATTAAATGATGAAAAAAAGACTACGGATTTGGTGAGGAAATTGTTTAATGAACGAGATCGAGAAAAACGGGAACAAAATATTCAAGCAATTGCAGAATTGATAAATGCTAAAAATGATAAACGTACTCAAATTAGTAAATTAGCCGAAATGGTTAAAAAAACAAAAACTCTATATAAAGAGAAACGTAATTATAATATAGAGGATCGGGATCTTATAGAATTAGCGGCGCTTGTACAAGAGCGTCAAAATGTAGATGTTCCTAAAAAAGATTTTTCCGCCGAATTATTGCGTACACATCAACGATTTGGATACACGGAATATATCTTTGATATAAATGTTGGTAGCGCTAATATGAATAGTTTACCTGATTTTTTTATAAATTTACGAAGTGTATTCGATTACCTGATAAATACTATGTTGTATTATGCTCAGACGAAGACGGATAAGGCAAGATTTTATATCTCGAACGCGCCGCGCACACCGTTTTCAACAAGCATTTTAAATGTCAGCGATTTTACAACCGAAATGTTTTTTAACATTTTCGAAAAACATATGCAAAGTAATGCACAAGAGATCATAAATAATGGCTGGAATACCACCGTCAGTTTGTATATTTTTCCAAACGATTATGTTCCGCGTAAAAAAAAACCGGTAAAAAAAAAAAAAATAAACGATAATAGATTGTATAAGTATTTTGGGCGGAACACGTCGGAATCCGGTACGGGTAAGCAAAATGAACCGGTTTTTAAGTACGGTCGTGAAGCACGACACGGTGTTTTTCAGATCGGTAATTCCAATGTTAGAAATTGTTGTTTGGCTCTAGCTCTTTTAGTGGGTAAATCTTATTTGCACAACGATTTTAACGCTGCTAAATTGAAACGTAATAGCCACATACCCCTAAGTGACATATATACAGACGACGCAATTACCAACATGTATACAGTTAGCCAGTTGCCCGTGGGTGCACCAGTATGTATCAATCAATTACCCGTTGTTTACGAACGATATTTAAAACCGGACGGTATAGATTTGGTGGTTTTTTCCAAACAACAAGCCGATAGTATTGTTTACGATTCGCGTTTGGACACAAATCAAAATTTACATCGCGTTACAAACGAGGTTATTTTTTTATGGTTAAATGATGATCATTACGATTTAGTTACTTCACCGTATACGTTTGCACGTTTAAATTTAGGCAGGTTTTGTTTTTCATGCATGAAATATTTCCGCCGGCACGAACGAAAAACAACGCATGTTTGCATCTTAAATACGTCCTGTCAACGTTGCTATTGTAATACGAGATATTGTGAATCGGTACAGGGCTTTTTTCAGCAATGTACCGAATGCGATGTTCTTTTCTATAACCCCGATTGTTTTACCAAACATTTGACACAAAAAGTGTTTAAGACATACATCAATGGTGTTGTGAGAAGCGTTACACCGTGTCAACGTTTCTTTTTCTGTGCCTCGTGTTACAAAGTGGTAGCACGTAAAACGATGACGTCAAGCAAAAAATATACGAATCATAAATGCGACGAAATGTTTTGCCTACATTGTAATGCCATGAAAAAAAAAGATCATCATTGTTACATTAAACCGATAAAAGATTGTAAAAACGAGTCGCGACCCACATTGTATTTTTACGATTTTGAAACGCGTGTAAATGAGGGCGATATATACATGATACCCTTCTATTGCGTTGTGCAAAAAGTATGTGATGTGTGTGATCAAAAACCGTTTGTTAAAAATTACGAACATTTTTTACCCCACCCTAGCGAACCATTCGTGGATATCTCGGTCGATGCTGTACCCTGCTGCGGTTATAGACAGTATGTTTTTGATAAAAATAATGATGATATAGTCGCGGATTTAGTTGATTTTATGATGACACAACCCAAAAACAGCGTGTGGGTTGCGCACAACGGCGGTCGATTCGATAGTATTTTTTTAATGCGTGAATTATTAATACATCGTAAAATTGTTCCCACGCTTATTATGAACGGTAGTAAGGTTATGTCGTTAGAATTGGAACAACGAAATTTAAAAGTAATCGACAGTTACTTATTTCTTGCTATGAAATTAGCAAAATTCCCAGAAGCATTGGGGATCGAAAACGCAACAAAGGGATTTCATCCGTACTTGTTTACCGATTTAAATTACGTGGGTGAGATGGTGGGTTTAGAATACTTTGAACTTCCGGCCGAGGGTAGTGAAGAACGAAAAACATTTGATAGATGGTATAGGGAACAGCAAAATAAAACGTACGTATTTCGCGAAGCTATCTATTATTATTGCCGCATGGATGTGGACATCTTGAGACGGGGTTGCATCATATTTTCTCGTTTGATTCATCAGATTACGGGTATATTACCCTTTTATGACCGCACGTGTAATACGGTTGCGGGCATGGCGCTGAAAATATATCGAAAAAATTTTTTAAAAAACGAACAAATAGGACAGATTCCAGCATGTGGTTATGGGGGCGTGAATATAAATCAAAGTGCCATCGCTTTATGCTGGCTAAGAGATGTGGAAATTTCATTGGATGAAAATAATCAAAAATTGGCGAGTAAACTTAGCGTTGGCGGCGAACGCCGTATAATGGGCCGTTACGTCGACGGCTATTGCGAAGAGACGAATACGATTTATCAATTTCACGGGTGTTTTTATCACGGTTGCGATCGTTGTTACGACGGACAATGTTACAACAATGTTTCGGCTACGAAATTTCACACACTTTTTACGGCCACACAACGCTTATCGCGAACGTTTGTCCAAGCGGGGTACACGGTTGTTGAAAAATGGGAATGTGATTATCGTAACGAGGTTGACATGTCACCTTATCGATTAAAACAATTGCGACTCACATCGTTTTTCGAATTTATACAATTGGAACCCCGTGACGCGTTGTTTGGGGGTCGTACGTCACCGGCCGTATTATATTATGACATGGCGGTTAACGGTCTACCCGCAATGTATTATGACGTATGCTCTCTTTATCCGTATGTTCAAAAAAAATTTCGATATCCGACTCAACATCCGGTTATTCTCAAGGGTAAAGATTGTGAAAATATTGATGTAAATCATGTGTTCGGTTTGATTAAGTGTAAAATTTTACCTCCCACGCATTTACTATTTCCCGTTTTACCGTATCGTTCGAATAAATTAACATTCCCATTGTGCCGCACGTGTGTCGATTGTCAACAGCGGGAAACATGTCGACACGGTGATGAACAGCGTGCGTTATACGGCACGTGGACAAGTGTTGAAATTCAAAAAGCCTTGCAATTGGATTATCGTATTTTAGTTATTTACGAGATTTATCATTTTACAAAAACCGATAAGATATTCGATCAATATGTGAACACGTTTATCAAATTGAAACAAGAAAGTAGCGGGATACCTAAAAAATGTTTGAATGAAAACGGCGAGGTGATACGGGATCTATTGCAAAAATATATCGACGATTATATGAAACACGAGGGTGTCGCCTTGAATGTTACTAATATGAATTATAACGCGGGACAAAGAACCGTTATGAAAGCGTTGTTAAATTCCCTGTGGGGTAAATTGGCCCAAAACGAAGATGTTACGGTTGTGTCTTTTCTAGAAAGCATGGACGAATTATTAGATTTAGTAAACGACCGCACAGTGGAGGTGACCTCCTTAGATTTCATAAGCGATAATATGGCAAAAACGACACACCGAAAAACGGCAAGTTTAACGACCTTGACTAATCGTAATGTAATTATCGCCTCTTTTGTAACAGCCTATGCACGTTTGGAATTGTTGGAATATTTACTAAAATTAGGTGAAAATGTTTTGTATTACGATACGGATTCGGTAATTTTTACAGAGGATCGCGCAAACGGTAAATTTCTCGAAACCGGCGAATATTTGGGGCAGATGACTGACGAATTAGTGGAAAAAAGAACGACAGCAAAATGGATCACACAGTTTTGTTCTGCCGGTCCAAAATCCTATTCGTATCGCACGAACGTCTATACCCGAACTAACGACGACGGTACCACGACCGAACAAAGCGATGAAATTGTACATGTGAAAGGTTTTTCGTTAAAGGGTCCGGTTAAAAAAATATTGACATTTGACACTATTCGGGAGTGCGTCGAAGATCCGAGTAAAAAAATCGAGATCACATATCGTGAATTTATACGCGAAAATACGCAAAGTATTTCGGTACAGCAAAATACAAAAACCTTTAAATTTACTTTTGATAAAAGGGTAGTGCATGATGATTTTACAACTACACCCTATGGTTACCGGTAAAAATTTAAATCGTATATTTTTTTAGAAAGAAAAATCCGATTGTTTGCACGATGTCGTATTACCCTTTGAACATCCCTTCGTGATGAATGTATGCGGGCCCACACAATCGGGTAAAACATATCTACTGGTTAACATCATTAAAAACATTGACGTACTGATACAACCGACACCTGACAAACTGCTATATCTATACTCCGCCGAACAGAAACTATATGGTGAAATTACGGATCATGTGGAAGCAAATAAGGAAAAAAGCGCATTGAAAGAATGTGAGTTCTATGATTGTGTAGCAATGGGTATACCCACTATAGAGCATTTAAGACCGATGTTGGGTAAACGTACCCTGCTTGTTCTCGACGACCTCATGGTTTTGGCTATGGCCTCTAAGGAAGGAATTGAAAATTTAAATAATTTGGTAACACGTGACAGCCATCATTTAGATCTCTCGGTATTTTTTGTATGTCAAACTTTAAATTACGGCAATGGTAAAATACGAAGTATGCGTACGAACAGCATGTACCATCTTCTTTTCAATAATCATACCGATACTCGAGATATAGAATTAGTGGCACGAAATAAGGGTATCCGTCTACCGACAATACGGAAAATTCTGTCCGATGTTGGTAAAAAAGAATACGGCTACGTATTATTCGACGGATGCCCTCATTCGCCAGCCAACACACGTGTTCGAACGGGTATATTACCCCAGGAATGTACGATAATTTACGATATTGAAAAACCATTTGTATAATAAAAATATATTGTAATAAAAAAAGTTTACATATATTGCTGAAATGTTTCTACGTATGATTTACAAATTTGACCTTTACCCTTAATACATTTACGTTTATAGATATTAATTATGGGCGGGTATTTTTGATATATTAATTGTTGTAGTTTTTTCTCGTTTTCTAAAAGTTCATCTAGTTTAACGGAAAATTCTTCGATTATATTCTCGTTGCTATAGAAGGTGTGGAGAAATAATAGACACCATGCGCCACATGTCCTGCTAATATACGATTGACGGGGCAATTGCGTATAGACGGAAAAATTGCAACGGAGACTGCGGAAATAATCCAACCAATATTTACGACCAAAAAAACGTGGTGTTTTACCAAAACTATCGAAAAATATAATATCTTGATAGTTTTTCACCACACACACCCAATGTGTGCCGGGTTTATTATCTTCGTCAACATTCCATACCCAACAACAACGTTCTTGAATACCGTCCGGATTAATATTTGCAGGATAACAACCCAAATAATAGGGGCTGACAGTTTTATTACCGTTAGCTATTTTATCAATGTCGTCGGTATTTAAAAATTTACTTAAAAAACAAGTTAATGAAGTCATTGTTCTGAACCCGATGAGGAATCCTGTAAATAAAGCCGTTTCTTTTTACCTTTATCTTTACCCGTCTTGCTTGTCTGTGCCTGTGGTGTAGCGTATGGATTTTTATATAGGGGCAACGGTGTATTTTTATCACGGTTTAACAGCTGTCTGTATTGTTCTTTCATTTTTTTATTGCGTATATAGGAAATGGGCATATTTGTTTTTTTTAATAATAATAGCACACGACGTTGACGGGCATCAGTTAAATTCGGTGTTGTTTGAGTATAATTTCGTGTTAAATCTTCCATCATATCTTGATAAGATATGTTTATAGTACTATCTTTTGTTTTAATTCCTGTATCTGTGGGTTTTACAGAATGTTTTTGAAAATGTTCATCAATTTTCGACATTGCATAAGCGACGGTACCGGGTTTATGTCCCGCACCACTGGGTCCTGCGGTAACCGGGGGTGCTTGTGCAGCATCGTCGCCATCATCAGGGGCTGTGCTATCAAGACCCACAGATTTTCGATAACTATCTGCTTTGCGTAGATAATTAATAATATCGTTGCCTGCCAGGGAAGAATTATCTTTCACTGATTTTTTAGCCTGTTGACGACTTTCGATAAGACCCGCTTCTTCACTACTACGTTTTACACTGTTTAATAATTCATCCCTTGCATTATTTTTCGAAAGCATGTCCATTAAATTATTTAATTTATTTGCGTCTATTAACGCTAACCGTTTGACTTCTTCTCCCATTTATGTTCGGATTTTTTTTCTTGATGTCTTCAAGTTGTCTGACGGCTTTCCGAATATAACTATGAATGCGTATATCTTCCACAAGCGTATATTTTATATCTTTCTTGGGACAATCTTTACTCGTAATATGTTCTAAAACACCACGATCTCCATTATCTATTTTAATGTTGTCGAACGTGTTAGTAAGAATTAATCTACATACGTGAAGCAGATGACGGATAATTGTGGGTGAAATTCGCTCGCTTCTTTGCTCAAAATCTAATTTCATATAATTTGAAATACAAGGAAGAAAACGACTTTCTTTCTTTTTCTTCTCCATTTGCTCTTGTAATTGCATAAGGTGTTTTAAGAATCCTTGCATTACTTTATCATCTAATTCGTCATCATCATCAACAACATCATTACACACATTCATGGATCTTTCATCACCGGTGTCGTTATCGTATCTCTCATCATCGGCGTCGTTATCGAAATCTTGATCTATTTCAGTATTTGCAGTATTTTCCGCACGTATATTTTGGGTTTCTTCAATGGGTTCTTCGGTATTTTCAACAACGGTATCATCATCAAAATAATCCTCTTCACCTTCGGTATCCGAATAACCGACTAAATCCTCAATTTTACCATTTTCACCCATATTTTGAAATCGGTGCGTATACGTGAACGGTTTGAATATTCACACCCTTATCACTAATAATTTTAGGGTTCGGCGGTCGAGGTATACATACAAAAGATTCGGGTTTTTTATGGGGTCCCGCTTTTAAACCCTTCTTCACTGTCACGTGTTTCGGCATATTGATAATTGTTTCATGCATTACGTTTATATTTATATCAATCTCCAGCAATATCTTTTGCCCATTTTTGGGGATCCATATAGCCAAAGCCACCTTTTTGATTGTAAAAATCACGTTTTCTAGGACGTGTATCATTTGCTACTTTCCCGAACGTTTTCCAAAAATCACCACCGCCCCGTTGTTTACGAGGACCGCTACCAATTTGGGCCAATTTTAGTGTCGTTTTTTCCCATTTTTTATGATTCCAACCTCCTTTTTGTGACCTTTTTTTAACCCCTTTTTGTTTTTTACTTCTTCTCTTACGTTTACGACAACACTTCATGATGAACTATTACAATATAATATTATTTAAGCTCCTTTATACTTCATATTTCATACGCGCTTGAGTCCCGAAACCGACACTCATTTGATTTCTAAATTCACCGACACAAACCAGTTGCTGGGCTGCTGCGGTATCATTACGAAAATCAATTTTAATACTGATATTCCCACTTGTGGCGTTGGGTAAAACTTGTGAATAACCATCACGATTTGGTGATAAATCTGTAACAATCATTCCAAAATCGGATTTATAGTCGGCAAAATTGCATGGCATTTCACTATATCGACGATCCAGTACTTGACGTAAATTGATATAGGCGTCTGTGGCAGAGGTTATCACAGGGGGTATTTCTGCTTCATTAATCGACACGGCAAAACGTGTTATATTGGGAAAGCCGGCTTTGTAAGGCGCTAATATATGTGATCCGTTGTAACGATCTTGCGATATTATTTTCGTAATAAGACGTGTGGGTCTAGCACCGTTAAAAAGATCTTTATGTACAATGTGTCGACTATTTGCGGGTATGGGTATTGCCAGATAACGATGTGTGATCTTGTAATAACGACATTCTTCACCTTTTTGAATCATCAAATCATTAATTGCCGACGATAATTGAGCATTTGGTTTTAAAATTGGCATCGACAACTTTAAATTATTCAACCTCAATTCGACAAGAGCACAATGGGCAGCCGTACCATATAGCAGCTTCGTTTTATCTAACTTTGTTAAAACCAATTTAATATCGAAAGATGTCGGCACATAGCGTTTAACACGACCCAACAGATCACATTTATCCCGACATTCATGCACAACATCAGTATTTACCAAAACATAACGGGCTCTTGCACCCAAATTTACACTACCCGTGGCATTTGCATTCCGATGTAAATTAGTGGGGTCATCCGATGCAGCACCCGGTGTATCACGAATCATTAATGTGATATCTTGATCATCTTTATATTCGGAAGGGACAGTGGTCAAAAAATCGTGTATATATTCAAGTTCATTTTCTTTACTTGATTGCGGTGTAATTAATTGATTATTTAAATAAACAGCTTTGGTTTTCCAACCGTAACGTAACGGTGCTATATTAACAGCGATATTTCGATCACCGGCCGGTGCTGCACCTGTACCAGCCACCGCTATTTTTATATCTGCAGATATTTTTGCATCAACCATATCAATGACACCGTAATCTTGCCGATTATGCATGAATGTATAAATTTCTGCATTATCAGTAAGTGGGTTAGGTAATAACTCAAGACTACGTGTTTCCGCAAATGTGTCATTGTGGGGAAATGTATCAAATAGTGTCATCGGCCCCACAAAACCACTATCATGTTCTTCAATCGGTTCAGCTTCTTGTTTTGTTCGTTTCATCTTGACGACGTTCAATGAACTAATGAAGTTATGCAAAAATATAACCCCTTTTTAATAGAAACTACGCACACACGCATAATTTTTTGACTTTTTTATTATTTTATAGAAAAAATTAAGTATATAATACATTTAATAGTAATCATCGTCATAATATCTTTGTCTTTGACGACGTCTTCGTGGAGGTGGTCGGCTGCTCATCCATGCGGGTTGTTGCGGTTGCTGATAACCTCCTTGATTAACGCTCTGCGTTGGTCTTTTAGCAGGTTTTTTACCAAAAATGCTACCCACAACACTTGTACCCGTATTTAATAACATGGGCAATGCCATACCCAGGGCTATCCCCGCAGCAGGACCAAAACCACCTATCTGTTTTTTTCTTCGTCCTCTTCCCCCACTTTTTTTCTTATTCCTAGTTCTTCTTTTACTACCCATAGATTAATTGTAAAATTTCCGCTGTTTTATTACGTGTCGGTTGTTTGGGTTGTGCTGCAACTCTAGGTTGGATTTTACCCACTCTGGGTGTTTTACGACTTGCCGCGTAATCGGGATTTAAATGGGGTGATGCACAAATATTACCAGCGGCACGTTCTTCAACAGTTTGTCCTTTCCCCGGCAACATGAATAACTTTGTTCCTTTATAGGGTATACCACCCCCTTTTAACAGTTTTACATAGTCCGCTTGCTCCATGGTGAATGAAGTTTTTTTATTACTCACTTTCATATATATTTAAAAGAATAGCTAATTTTGATCTATTAGCAACATCTGCAGCCAATGCAAAACTATCTCCGGTATATCCCGGTGTTCGTTCAAAAATAAATTTCACATTTTTATCTAATTCATCTACATTTCGTACAGTCAATAGACAATTGGGTAATGGTGTTTTAACGGTTGAATTTGAAACAGGGATTATTATCTGACTATTGGACACCTGTTCAAAACGTTCAAATAATAAATAACGTTTTAGGGTATAATAATGAGTAGGGTTATTACGTAACCCTGCAGTGGCCCAATCATTACCCCCAAAAAAATGACCACCCACAGTCTTTGTTTCAACATTCGTTAATGCGTTTGTAACATCCCATTTTCGTGCTACCGATAATTTAAAACCGCCTAATATACCCTCAACATTTGAAACGGTGTAATACAATAATTGATGTAATTGAAGTGCTTTAACTTCCGAGCTATATTCATATTTTACAGGTACGAGTTCTTTGGGACGGTTGGCTTTTACTTCCAATTCTATTTTTAACATTCTTTATTCCACAATACACTCAATATTTATAGTTCCACTAGTAAACGGTATTAATGTGTGTGTTGTATCATAAATTCCAATTTTAAATTGATCAATTTTGCTTTTAATCAATCTATGACGTGTATTCGGAGGGGTGTATACGCTTAATGCCCCCGTGCCTCGAACATCATCTTTTAAAGGAACAACGGCTAATAATGGCGCATATGTATCACCAACAATTGACATTTCCAATTGATCACAATATACAAACATTTTATCAATACCATTAGAAATATCGGGAAGTGCTTTACCCATAAACGAACAAGCAAAATTATTGTTTTCACAATCGTTGGTTTTATTCATAAAATTATACCATGTAATCCCAAGGTTAGGATCTTCTTCTACGCTCGGATTACTCTTTTGTATACGCGTAACAAACATACGAGAACCGCTCGCTTTCAATGTTGTATAATAATCCTTTGTGGCCTGCACATCTGGGTGAATTTTTATTTGTTGTAACCCAAGTATGTATTCCAAAGATTCGGTAAATGTCATTTGAAATTCATCACTTTCGCAAGTGTTTTGGGGAAAAACCTCAAATATTTGATGCGGTGGTTGTGTTGTTATTCGTTTTATTGTGACATCAGAATGCCAATATTCACGTTCAAGGGTATATGTTACACCGATTCGACCATTATTCAAATGTGTAAATTTAACATCATATTCGCCAACAAGAGCATTTAGGGTCAAAAGAAGTTTTTCTAAAGTATAACTACCCGGTGGTAAATACAACATGTCAGTTTTGAAACCACATTCAATACCCGAATCGGAATGTGTAGGAAAAAACATTGTAATTTGTACACCACATGTTTCTTCGGCAATATTTTCAATCGTCAAGGGATAGGATAGATTTAAAACACGCATGAATAAATCTTTATTTTCGGCATCTAATAAAGTCGGTAACGGCATAACAAATTCGTTGGTATAATTTGTACCCCCCACAGGGTTTCGTGCATTGCTGACAATTTGTACGTTCATATCGTTTGTAATTCGCTGCGGTAGAATATCCCCGTGATTTCCTCACCCTTCAAATCTTCGAGTGAATACGTGACTGGGTCGGATATGTAAACCTTTTTAATACGGAAAATTTCTTTTACCCATCGTCTCAAACTGGATTTTTCAAAAATATTATTTTTAATTCGTGCAATACGCACATGTTGACCTTGCTTTAAAAGACGTACGGGTTTGGGGTTATCATTTAATATCGACTTTAATCTTTTAACAGCATCTGGTTTTTTACCCCGTTTATATACATCAACAGGTGTCATATTGTATATGCCCCTGTGTGGGGCCTCATTGTAACGTTCAACAATCACTTGTAGATTTTCAATGTACCGATGACCTTGATTTAACCCCGTCAACGAACGCTGAATACTTTGTTTAAGCGTTTCGATAAATCGTTCCGCATGTACGGCTTTCGTCTCTCGATTGTAAGTGTGAAAAAGTGTAAAGCCGTATTTTTTACACAGATCTCGTTTTATTAACGTAAATTCTGTACCCTCGTCACTTTGAATTTTTAACGGGATCTCCTTTTCTTTTATCAAAATATCTTCAAATTTATTTGCCACATTTCGAGCCGTTTTCGTTTTCAAGGGACGTACAAAAGCATAACGAGAATAAATATCAACACACACAAGCAAATAACGATATTGATTATTAAAATTTGCTATATTATTTAAATCGGCCAAATCAATACTCCATTGTGCATTACGTTTATATACATTAATTGATAAACGTTTATATTTTGTCAATTTTCTACTATGTAATCGATACGCGTCTTTTTGTTTATCAGTTAATCGTTCATTTTTTAATAATCGCGACGTTTTTTTAATCAGTTCTGTATTCTTTGACGTCTTCCCCATAATGTGTTACTAAAAAATTAATACAACATATTTTTATCAACCATCACCCTATACATTTCTTCTACCTCCTCTACAGTCTCATCATTTTTAATCATGTCGAGATAGTTATACGCATATTCCTCGCTCAGCTCGTTTGCATATAAAAGTACGGCTTCTTTACATGATTTTTTTTCACGATGCATCACAGCAATAATATTCGATATTGCATTACGACGCTATAAAAAAATATGAAAAAACTATTGAAGAATAAGCGAAAAACTATCGATAGACATCTCCGATAATTGCTGCATTTTTCGTAATTTATCTACAGTATCTAATATATATCTTCTTATACTGGCGTCTTCTAACACATTCCATTCATTCGTTTTGACATTGTAATAAGTTATTGCTTGTTCATAGGTCTGATTTTCAGCCAACATTTTCAATAAAACCCCTTTTATCACAGTGCTTATTCGTTCTCTAAGAAAAGGTTTGGTACCGTTTACGTTTAAATTTTGATACCATTTTGCAAACATTACCTCGTCTTCAACGGGATCGATAACACGCTTCTTTTTACCACTACCACTTGGCTGTTTCGCTTCCTTACGTTTCTTCGCGGCTGCACTTTTCGTAGGTGCTAACTGTGGTGGTGGTGTTGATGGGGGTGGGGACACGGTCGGCTGTGTTGTAATAACCGACTCATCATCAACATCCTGCTCGTGTTCCACACGCGACAAAAACTCGTTGATCTTCGTGGACACATAATGCCAATTTTCATTTTTTGAAAAATAACATTTGGCCCACTGATCTTCCCATTCAATTTCGGCGATGTCATCATCCAATTCTTCATCCATGGGTTGAGTCATGGGTACATCATCATCTTGCAAGCCGTCGGGAACAACGACTGATAAAACAACGGGGGGTTTACATGCTTGTTGACGCATAAGTACCAAACCATGATACTCGCTATCGGTCAACAAAATTCGGACCAAATTCTTGTTCCAATCTTCATATTCATCAATCAAAATATCGTTGGTGGCACCTTTTCGACACTTCTTAAGAGACTCACTAACTGTGCGAAGCTGGTCGGTGGTGAGCAAAAATTTCATTTTATATAACATTTTGTCACCCGCCTGTGTTGGGGCTGTCGATGCTATGCAACATTTTTTGTTAAAACGTTGATACCAAAGCATTTTTTTAGTTTTATTTGCAGCTGTACCCAATGTTGTAACATGTGTAGCATTCTGCTTTTCGTACAGCTCAATCGCAGACACCTCATGTTGTTGTGCCATCTTTGAGAAAAAATGAAAATGCGATGGTTGCGCGTACTCACGCAAGCATTTTATACACAACGTAACCCAACCCCATTGTCAACACCGTGTTCACTAGAAATTGTTTTGCTATTGTCGCCCGAATATGGTCACACACTTTATTGTATATATCTGTGATTTTACGAAGAAAAAGACATTTCCTTTCGGAAGTTGAAAAATCGATATGACCATATAGGGTCACAAGAACGTAACCCATAGCGAATAATTTGAAGTAATCGTTATTAGTTTTAAAAGTATCATCATTCACTAATGCCAACATTATATCTGTGGGTTGATGACCAGCGGGTTGTTCAATATTCCGTATCATCTTACAAATATCCCCATAACATATTCTTAAACAATTACTCATCTGATTGTGAAAAATTTCACGCACATAATCGCTTTTTGCATCTACCAAACCGTGCCACGATGTTGTATGATACATGTTTTAATTCACGAATTATCTCGCATATTTTACATGAACACTTACATACACGGTGATCTTCGTACTGAAATAATTTTATTCAATATCAATGTGTTATATGTGTTACATATTTGTTACTTTTAGCGTTTTTAAGTGTGCATAGATGATAAACGGTAAGACACTATTATCAATTAACATATTACATTTTAAAAAATATTTTTTAATATTTACAATGTTTTTTGCATAACAAATTCCCCGGTCGTGTACAAATTGTATATAGGATACGAAATAAAGTATTTTATTCATTCTTCTGCGGGAACCCAACAGAGTCACATGTTCGTAACTTATAACAAAATGTTCGGTCGTCTCACCCGTATACGTCTCCAAGATAAGTACAATATTATAATCGACTTCTGTTCTGCGTGTAATATCCGCTTTTAATATATACGATATGGCGTAGAGATTATCATCACATAATATTGTACTTGTAGGTCGTAGTAATATATATTTATTAATTTTTTGTTTTTCAGAAAAAAATTTTCTTCTTCTTTGTAAATTCATTCTCCGTAAAAAAACGATAAGTTGTGATTTGACACTAAATATTTTCCAATTTTAAGCCATCTTTCTGTAATGTAGATTTGATAGATTCCGTAATATTCGTTAACCTTTCTTCTTAATTCTTTATCGCTTAGATTGTCTGAAAGACATTTGTTTATAAATGTTAAAAAACGACGTATCGTATTTATAAATGTACATTTTGTATATATCACATGACGCCCATTAAATTGTTGCGTGGCCACATCTTTCTCGGGTAAAACTTGAAATTCACAGCGATAATAACCCTCGGTGTAACCGACATAATAGGCATATTCACCATCTTTTATGTGCACACAATCATAACAAAAATTAATATCATGACATTTGTCATCCATTAAAACCGCAGAACAGGCTCTTTTACCCGAAACCTTATACAGCATGGTTATCCCAGTCGTACTGTTTACGATATTTGAAATTTGTTAAATTTTGTCCGTAATTATACAAGCTGTAGGGTATAGAATTTAGAGCATACCATATTAGATCGTCTTTTATCCATATACCATAACGTTCAATAAGATAATGACACAACTGTGTACGCGCATAATGATAGGTATGATTAAAATGTACAAATACCCGATCACACTGTACAAAAAATATCTCTAACAAAGCTTTTAAACCGAGAATGTCATGATCGGGATGATGAAAACTATTTGTTAAAATAATATTAAATTTTGCAGTTTCTAATTCCTTAATTACTATATAACGTATATAACAGCGACCCGTATAATATTCAACCTCAAAACGTACACGCTCCTCGGTACATTGTAATAATTTTATAAAACATAACTTTACCCGATACACTTTATCATTGCAGACGAGAGTTCGACGCATTGCGAATCAGCATATTTCGGAAAAACAAAACCGCTTTTTTATTAACAACCGCCAAAGCCCATAGACCCGTATAAGTACATACGCATTTCTACAGAGCAATCATTTGATTGTCATAGCTATTACAATGGTGAATTATAGACCGAGACGTCATCGCAAACAATATGGGGCAAATTTTAAAGGTACCCGATATCAACGGGGAAAGACAAACAAAAAACAACAGGATGGAGGGTTTTTATCCAGTTTATTCGGGGGTGGTAAAAACAAATCAAAACCGATAAATGTAAATGTAAATCAAAGACAGGGAAATCAGGGTAATCAATCAATGCGTAACGGGTATAGCCAACCTCGTTATCAACCCTACTACCCACCCCCGCAGCGGTACCAAACTTATCGCTATTACGACGCACCGCCACCGCAAAGACGTAGACGGAGAAAAGGTAAATAAGACAACAAAAAAATGGTCTTATTAAAGAGCGCCCAATCACAAACAATTAAAAGACATACACACTTTTATTGTATAGAAAACGATGGACAAAAAAAACAACAAGGTGGTAACTGGTGGATGTTGTTTCTGTAACTATATTATTTTAATCAAATAAAAAATTAACAAAATACCATTTTTTTACACGATTCAATGTTTTGTCTACAAATGTAACATAATCTACCCTTCTCTAATACATATTTAATCACCGGTCGTAAATGACACAAGCGTTCGGGATATAATGTCATCGGCTTATATTTATTGACGAGCCACGTATGCATAAATGTTAAAGAATCGTTCTCGTGAAAACAAACACCGCAACCCCCGCCAACTTTTGGGCAGCTATAAACACCCATCTCGTACAAACAAGTTCGACTGCATAAACATCTTATTCTTTTACGTTTTGCAATAATTTCAACAACCGATTCTTTTACATCACAACAGTCATTAGCACACACGTAAAATAATTGTAATTCGCCTTTAACATCACAACCGCGAAGATATGAGGGTGTCGAATAATCAATATGCTTTAATATGGCTTTCGTCTGCACGCCACATTTACACGGGTCGCGATATAACTTGAACATGATATATTCCCCAACAGCGTTCATAATCTCAATATATTGCGGAAACGTTTCGCTTTCCATATCGATTTGAAAACCACAAAAATAACCCCCCAGTCTGGGGCTTGTATAATATTTATCAGCACACATATAATAACCGCGATCATTATACGTCACAATGCTAGCATATTCATCACAACAACATTTAATTTTTTTACAAACAGCTTTTTCATCTCCAACAACCCACACTTTACACACGTTACAATCACAACGCATTGTGAAAATAATGACCCGCTTTCTTACAACCTTACAATATATATAAACCCTTAAGCCCTTTTTTATTCATATGCCCAAATATGGTCACATCATTTTTGCAAAACCGTATATTTAAAAAGGGTGAATAATTTCATTTGCTATAGCCACATCATGTCTGCTTGTGAACATTGTACGCAAGATGCAAAATGTAAATGTGAAAAAAATTGTTTAAATTGTTTAAAAGCAAAACAATTATACGATGTCGCACACTCTATACTACACGATCAGCAAAAGCAGCAACAAGAAAATAAAACGCCCAGAAAAAAAATTCAGTTTGAAGAAACATCGTCAGAGTCGGCGATAGAAGCATCGCCTGTTAAATTTAAACGTCGTTGTTTAAAAAAAAAACTACAGCAAACCAAACTACAACTACAGGAAGTTGAAAAGGAAAAAAAGAAAATTAAAATCAAAAAAGAAACACCTACAAAACCTACAAAACCATTACCCTACTACTGCTATCTGCACATGGTGTGTATAGCTAAACCCTGTTGTGAAAATTGTGAGCTGATCAAAGATGAACAAACGCAAAATTGAGGAAATTTCAAAAAGCGCGTATAGTAGTAGTAGCGAGTATAGTAGTAGCGATGAAGACACTGACAATGATGAAAACGTTATGTATTTTGATACACGTGATAACTATGTACATCCCGACACTGTTCGAAAAAATATAAGAGAAGCATTACAAAGTGCAGAAATGATTAACGTTATGAAACATTTAGGTTATGAACTGAAATCAAAAAAATAATTATGGTAAATCTAATTTGTAGCGTTCTAAAATCTCATGTGATATCTTATGACATTGACACCATTGACTAATAACAAATATAAAGCATATAAAATTATTTAAACGTTTATTGTCACCGAAGGGTGCCAATCTTTTTCCCGTAAATACCCAGCGTGTAAAATCTTCATGTTTAAGTACTTCTTGCATTGAGGGCCATGCCAACCAATCATCACCCTCCAAATCTGCTTTTTCAGAAAACATCTGAAAAGCTTGCGATTTGCCAAGCCTTTCATACTGTAGATCTTCCTGTGTGCGAAACAATTCAAATTCACCATACCTAGGATGATAACGAGCGGGTGGTGAACTACAACGAGAAGCGGGTTGTGCTACTTCATGTTGTACTTCTTCTTGTGAACGACGTCTTCCGAAAATTGTACGACTCATGATCTCTTGACATCCGCTACAGTCACAAAATCCGGGGTCTCCTCTACATGTCTCAACGGTTTGTTGTTGACAAACTTCGATATCGTCCATACCTACTGGATCACCACATTGCGCCATCATTGAATCAGCATCCTCATCATCAATACTTAAATAATTCATTAAACGTACCGGGTCGGTACCCTGATATATAGTATTTTTGGTTACGTCTCTAGCAAAATGTAATAAACCGGCCATATTCAGGTTCATGTTCGCACGACAACGTTCACAATGCAACTAAACAAAGTTAGCAGTTGGCAAAAATATTATCAATATACTCGTCAATATCCTCATAACGCTGTACGCTATACGGGTGACGCCTTTGCAATTTTGACATTGCGATATTATAGATTTTGTCTGCATGACTGATTACCACGTCCTGATCGAGAATATGTTTCGCTTCCTCCCATGCATCAATCAAAATATCATATATATATTCAATAATCAACCAACATTCCTTTAAAACATCCACGAATGTCTTCATCCATATATCCTTACTCAAACAATTTCGAGATTTTGTCATCATAAATCTCCACACATAACGTGCCGTAATATTATACAATAATTCATCATAATCATAGATTTCGCGTGCTGCAGGAATTACAACGGTATCCGGTATGATCACATAACCCTTTATGTGTTCGGGTAATAATAACCTATTCATATTTACGTTTCTTTCCAACGTCTCGATTGTTATTCTTCGCATGCCAACACATAATATCATAACCCGACACGATCATTTTATTTATAAAGTGCGCCTCGTATAAACTTGTAGTTAAAGATTTATGTTGTTGTGTTAAACGATTCCAAAATTGACGAATATAATAGGGATCTTGCACCGTGTATATTGTGGGTAAACCCGTGCGTTTCATATACGACATGTGAGCGTTTGAAGACAAAACATCACGCAATACTTGTTCAAAATCTTTAACATATATTTGTAAATCATACATTTTTTTACAACCATTATAAAATATCACAGACACACACATAATGAATGTTCACAATATACTGACTATCAGTTTATAGTTGTTCGTTTACAAATACTGTTCTAAAAAAATGTACAGTCAGAAACGATTTCACAGAGATGGAACGCACCATCGATATTGCTACTGTTACCTATGTAGTATGAAAAAGTTAGAAATAGAAATAGCAAATGCAAGAATGAAATTTATAAAAGGTAATAATTACCCTGTGACGATAAGTATGTAGCAGTCCAGTCAATATTTCGCCCTCTAATATAACTGACAAAGCAACGTGATATCAAAGTGCCCGTATACTTTAAAACATGTTGAATTATCGCTATATCGTTTTCCCCAAAAAATAAATAACCCTCTCGCAAGAGAACAATCCAACGTCCACCTTGCGGTTCTTCGGGAATACGTAAAACTCCAATGCCTGTAATTTCAAAATAAACACGCTGCATACATCGAAAACCGTCATCATAATCAACATAGGAAAGGTTAAAATATCCATAATGCCAACACATACACGAGCCATCGTTATAAGCACGATTTGTATCCATCCATATTACCATACGTATACCATTATACACTATACCATCATAACACAATGCAATACTTTGCTGACCTTTATGACAATGCTTATTAACATCGAAAACATTTTCGATACACCTATTAAATTCATATACGTCGTGGTTGTATTTGACGCAAGACATATGAATTCGTGGACTGTAAAAACTTCAAATCTGCGGTTAAACGAATATTATTACGACTATATGTATTCACGACAGATTAAAACTTTAGATCGACGCTTAAATAATACATTTAACAGTCGTGAATTTCACGAAGCAATGGCAAAGTTAAAAGTCAAAATGGAATATGACCATATATGTACATACCCAAAAAATAAACGATATATAGGTAAGCTAACTTTCAATTATGTTATTCGCCGCAATGGCAAACGCACAATATATCGATCACAACATCGGACAATTTCATAAACTATTCTACTACAATAATACACAAGATACGTATCGTTTGGCCTTGGTAAAATACATCGACAATCTACTACCCGTCAGCGAGTACAAATACATACGCGTACAAGTACCCGTATTACGTTTCCCCTTATACCCCTTTCTTCTGAGACCACGCGAATGTATGAAGATACACACGGTATGTACAAAAAATATATTTTATTTATTTTTTTAAAAATCTCATAAACATCAATACTCTTACAGATCAACGGGCCACCACAGAGGCTGGATCAACTAGTTTTAAAAATACAAGTCGAAGAATTCCTAGAAGAGCATCGATCTAACGACAAACACTCAGTATTTAGAAACGTTGTAGCAGTATAAAAAACATGTAAAAAATAAACAAATTTATTTTCGCAAACTCTTGTGTGTTTTTACATTTTGTATTACTAACTCAATTATATATGGTGATACTAACACACCAGTTCGTTTTAAGATATACTCGACTTTATCGACAATAACCCCCTTACGTACGGCCCTATTAAAATAGCGTATAAATTTTCTATCGGTTGCAAAATCCTCTAGTATGGGTAGATCATCAAAACCCACACGTGCTAAACGAAAACCTTCTTTACACATTGTGAAGTAATTAAATTTATTTAAACATTGTTTAGTATAGGGGCTACAATAAAATATACCTACAGGAAGTTCACTATCAATAAAAATTATTTTTCGTAATAACGTTCTATTTTCAACATAAAATACATATTTAATATTCGCATAAATTTTATCTTTATAATAAAAAGTTATCAAATTCGTGCCATAATGTTTCTTTCGACAATCAAAAAAATATTCTAATGAGCTATTAAATTCCTGTCCTTTCTCAACAGCTATTTCGACCATTATTCCCCGACCGTCTCAACTATGCTTGTTGGTTCCAACTGGGTCGTTGATAGTTGGTCGAGAATCTTGAGATCTTTCTTGGGTACGTTTCGAAGCTCGCAAAAAGCTATCGTTTCATTGGGATATTCTGTAGCCCTTAAATATTCCTCCTCTGGAACTTCAAAGATATAGTCAGAGTTCTTATCAGCGGGATCGGCGGGTCTATAAAATTAAAAAATATAATTTATTTTCTGAACAAAACACCCTTTTTTAAAAAATATTTCTTTCTTACCCGCGAACACAAATACATCGTCCCGGTCTCAATAGACCCCAACTGGTATAACGCGTATGTGGTATCAAAATAAACAACTGCTTTTTCACAACATCATTCAAACAATCGTGTTTGTGTGCCATGTCACCGTTATAAACTATATTATATATACAATCTGTATTATTCATATAATAAGCTCTCCTAACAGTCGGTAGCATCACAGGTGTAACGCAACATTTGTTGCTATAACGCTGTTTTACACTAGACATTTCAACGATATGCTGAAACATGAATGACGATATAAAAAATTCAGTGTTCTTTTTTAAAATATATTTACCCTCCTTATACGGTCATACCTTAAAGCATCAACAGATTTTTGACAATCATTAACAGAACGTTCTAACGCTTGTAAGCCCTCCAAGGTTTGGTACATTTTAGAATTTATATCTTCCATAAAACTACCCACCGCTTTACAAAATTCATCAAGCGGTGCAAAGACATCCTTAAACTGTTCTCTTTTCTCCACACACACATTGCATGCACAACCCTTACCACAACCCGTTTGTAACATTATCAAACACAATAAAATTCAAGACTATCAACAAGTCAAATATTATCAATACTGTGACAATCACAACAGTCACAATAAGTTCTATCATTTTATATACATAGCATTTATACACAATAGCAATTATACACATCAGTATCCCCATATTTTATCTAATAAACATACAACCTTATTTGAACATATCGATATTTTGTAAATCCCATAGCGTATCCTTCAAACAACACCCTTCAAAAAAACCTATAAATACCACGGGTCTATGCTAATAAATTTTCAAGTAGCGCTTACCTGTTCGAAATAGACAAGTGACACCACGGGAAAGTTGACAACTAAAACTACATCTTAATTTTTTGTTCACCTAGCTTATTTTAGCAGGGTGGTTATATAAAATCATAACTAAAAAAATGGCTGATTCAAACAAGATACAGGAGGAAATAGAACAAAAGGAAATAACGAAAGACGACGATTCAAGTGAAAAGAAGTAAGTCTCTTACCTTTGCTGTTGTATTAATTCACGAATCATATCACACATAAAACACTTGCAATTACAAGAGCAATTGTCCTCCTCGCAAGTACATGTGCACTCCATAGCAAAACCAATGGAACTAACTTAAACTACTACAACATTTATATAGAAAATGTAGAAAACCAGATCACTGGACGGACAGTGTCGATGATCAAAAAGAATTATTCCTACATATTCTCGCTGAATTAACCACCAAGCAATTACGTGCTGAAAACCACGACTGCATGGACTTCGAGACCTACAACAAGAAACACCGGCAATTGATCAGTTCTAATTGGCAAAAAGCAATCGGGTTCTTTCACCGTATCATCAATGGGGAATGGGGGGGAGAACCAAAACCCGACAAGGCGGGTATTGACGACAAATCCATCATAAGCGATGACGAGATTGCCTCGACACTTTGGAAAATCGCAATACTAGATATGTGTCCAAATGGAGAAGAAAAACCATACGGTGGTGTCTATATTTTTATAGCCGAAGCCGTATGTTTCTATGTCAAAGTTAAATGAACATTTTACAAAACATTTTAGAAAAAATTAAAAAATATGTAAAATGTTTTAAAATAAAAATTTTTTTATAACAGTTGTTTTACTTTTGTAACTGTAAAGAAGAAGAAAAAGAAGAAGAAATAAATTTTAGTACGATAAATTTGGGGATTGGAATGGAAAGAGATTTTTCACTCCTATTCCAATCCTCAGCTTTATTTACTATTTTTCTCAAGGAAAAAGAAGAAGTGTGTATAGTGAAAAAATAATTAAAATTGCTAAACTAGACGATCTTTTGCTTCGCGTTTTTACAAACTAGAAGTAAATTATCGTCTATCTTACCTTTTTTAAAAATATCGTCTGACACAGAACACCACTAATGGCACCAACTTAGGTGAGAATCGAACTCACTTTGACTCAGGACTTTAAACCCTGACGCGTTACCATACCGCCACACCGTCTACCATTTAAGCGATACCCTGTTGGCAGACATATATATGATAATATAATTTTGCTTTTATCTACCTTGCACTTCAGCTGCACAATTATTACGGTTTTTTGTAAAAAAGAAAAAATAAAAATTTAAAATGGAAACACACGAAAAGGAAAAAACACACAAGCGGAAACAACATCTCTACAAAGGCGCGAGATTCAAACGGCGCACTTCAGTTCGGTCGACCATGGCTTTGGGTGAGGAGCTACGTCACGGATACGCGTGCGCGCCACCACCCGCCGCGAACTGTCAATCAAACACACGACGCTAACTCGCTTAAATTAAGGACCGCCCCCTTCAAATTATCCCCCCCGTCCGTACAGTCAGCGGATTCATACTTCTGCGCCCGCAATACTTTCGTTTTCCATTCAAAGCTCCAATTAAATCAAACAGGTTCACACACCCCCTTTTTTTTTTCAACTTCATTCTACTATTACTACTCACATGTTTAATATATGTCACCTCTGATTGCCCTTTAACCTCTGGTCTTTGCTTGCATGACTCTTGACACTTGCATGACACTTGCTATTTCAATGTATATTGCTTCTTCTCAGTTCCATTCACAGCTTACTAGACGCTGCGAATAATCACTGTGTTTGATAAATTTTGTGCTTTTTACTGTAGTTCTATTTGCTTTTAATGCCCGCAGCAATCCCTCCCTTGCAGGTACCCTAGTATTATGAAATATGATACCATACTTGTATTAAAATTCGCGTCGAACTAATGTTATTGTATTAGGCAAATGAGTAGCCTACGGTGTAGCACAAGTCGACCTCGAACGAAAGTTTTCTTCGAGGTAGACTTGAGGCAAGTTTAGCAAATGAGAACCATACAATGATGGTTCTAGTTCTTGTTGGTATTTTGAACGCACGCTTTATCTTTAGTATGGCTACCACAAAGCTTTTCGCGCGGATTATATTTCGGGCAGTACTAAAATTTCCGCACCCGGCGGCCAGCGCTACGCGAATTTTCTTAATTCTAGTACTGCGTGGATTTTAATACATGTACTTAAAGGTATATTGTCGACATTTGACTAAAACTATCATAAGGAATTAGGAGAGTTTGTCCTTGTTTATATTCCAATGTATTGTATAAATTCGCTGGGTACAAATTTATGAAATTTTGGGGTTTTCGAGTCGTTTAATAATTTAATACCGAAAGAAAAACATCAATTCAACAGGCAAGAAAGTCCAGAGTGCGACGCAAAAATTAACACAAGTACACAACGGATGTTATGAGTCCACGACGTATACTTATAGAGCCAACAGATCACGACACTTTTGAATATAAAAAGAGCGTGTGAACTGAAAGTCAAACAAGTCACATATTATTAGCACTGATGAAGATCCGGGCTTACGGATCGAAAGCTTTGCAGTAATAAATATATTTACGTGGTGTTTCCACAAACAAAACCATTATATTTATAGTTGTTTATTAAAAAGTCAAACTGTCAAACCTTTAACTTGTCCTTGAGTACGACACAACGTTAAATCCATGGGAAACCGGCACAATTCTTTGAAAATTCAACGAAATTAAACTGTGTAAAATATAGTTTGATCACTCTGTGAAAAGCCGCCATTGGAGTTTGGAATTGTGCGCGTGCGTACAAGTGTATGGCCAGTAATAAACGAAAAAGGTACCACAAGCATTGCACAAGTCAGCTGTTACGTACATATATACGAGCTTATTACTATATTAGCTAAATCACGGACCCGAGGGACTCGATGGCATTTTGGCTTAATCCCTGCACCCTGAGCCTGCGATTAGCTAACGCAAACTGGATTTCTCGACTACGAAAAAAAACAGAAAAAGAGGGATTTAAGACACTTGGCCTACAGGCCAGTGTAATAAATGACAGTGCATGCGCATATATAGAAGTTTTTTATTCTCATATTTATTGTCAGACGGAACACTGTTTGAAAGGACTAAAATGTAACAGAAAATATGTACAGGACACAAGATTTACAACAACCTCGTACCAAGGACTAGCCGCGAATTGAAGGCGGCGGCATAGCCCTGGTAAACGCTAGTCACGTGACTCCAACATTACGTAATTGTTACTTTTCTCAACCGGGGTGTGAATGCTAGTGGTGAAACTCGAAGACAAACAGTTTTTATCTCCGAAATTCTTCAATCTTTCCTGAGAATTTTGCATTTCAAGCTTTTCTCAAAGTACGGCGATCGATCAAATGGATCAATACTTTCTGTAGAAAAAACTCAGTGAGATTTGTTCGTATGAGACGTTTAAAAGACTTGGATATGCTCGCTCAAGACGCTCGATCTGACATTTGCACAGGTTTATGATTTGGTACTTTGTTCAGTTTGCAAATGAATGCAAATTCAACTCTTGTATAATGACTAAAAGTTTGTTTGTAGAGGGACAACTTATACAAAAGATATGAATGCTTGAGCTTCAAACTAGGGACAAGTTCATGGACATCTCTAATATATGGACATTGATATTTCACCAATATGTAAATATGAAGTCATTAAATATATAAAAGGATTGCTGTTGTATATGTACAAGTGTTGTGCTGTGGTATTTACGTTTTTAACCCTTTAAGTAGCAATGCACCAAACTTTGCTAGTTTACTCTGTCTAACGCCAGACAATTTTCCTCGTCAGGTGGACAGTGCATGCCGCCACTCAATGGGTTAACATAGTCGATGAACATACCAAATGATCCTTAACCGTAGTAGTGCATTTTTGCACTTGCTGGATGATATCGCAACCAAGCATTGTTTCAGAGGAAGAGCCCTGAGATCATGCTGTGTAGCAATTGGAATCTCGTATAGAGCTTGCTCTCGCATAAAGCAGGCAAGGTCGACCTTCACTCAGAGGCCAGGATTAATATTAATTCCCCACATAAACACTTGGAAACCGGACTGTCCCATCTGCTATATGCAGGACAAAAAAAAACATGCAGCCTGGACTTTAACTGTTAAACAACCAAATCAGCATAATAAATCTGTAAACAGTGTGATAATTTTTGCTTAGCCCAAACCAAAGCCAGTTTTCTACAATTAATTTGCAGAATCCTAAGAATTAGACCTCCAACTTGAAGAGCTAGCTGTGCTGACCAAGTTGCATGGGCAACCCTGAATTGAAGTGACCAGTATAGCAAGTCTTCAAAAAATAATAGAGAGATTAGATTTGACTTCCACTACTGCTATTGCTATCATTAACTACTAACCAGATAAGTTTCATTTATCCAACAAACAATCGGATGCAACTGCCAGATCAAGTGGTGGGAGTGGAAGTCAAATTTGAACCTTTCTATATGGATTTCAGACCAGTCATTATTTGCTGATATATTATTATAACTTGTATAATCAAAAGCTACAGTAACTAGTATATATTCATTTATGATATTGAAAATTGATATATAATTATCTATAAAGTGAGAATAATTTAAAAAAATTATTCATAACATAAAATTAAATATTCATGCATGCTGGTTATTGAATAAACTATGGAGTGTGCATTCTGAATCTCTACAAATTCCTTGACATTATTTTTCCAGTACAGTGTAAAATTATATAAATGTGACACAGGTTGCAGGTATTAGGTTGCATGTCCACCAGTGTGCTGCAAGTCTGCAATACCATCCAGTGACCCGGTCTCGTTCATTGTTACTTGCATCTTGCTTAATTAAACTGTTTTTGTCCCATTTCTTCTACACATAAAGTTCTTTTCAATAATCTAGAAAAGTTCAAAATCATTCAGTAAATTTAATTTAAAAATTTTGGTGAAAGGGGTCAACAGATGAAGAAATCATACATATGGCCACCATCTGCCATCTCTGTCAGGTGTTAGAGTAGAAATTTATTGAATCCTTCAGAAAATAATTTTGGCAACAAGATTACACGTCACACTGCAGAGTTAGGCAATTTTTTAAAGATCTCAAGGGCACAAAATGTATAAATGTAGGGGCAAGGAAACAAAATAATAAAATTTTGAGATTCGGGGGCAGGTTTTATGATAAGGTGCTAAACCTTTTCCCTAACAAATCCCTGACCAGCTGTAGTTGTCATGGTCTCATGGATATTAAAAATACTCATTAACTCACTAGCATTAAATAATGCTGAATAAATGCTGAAACTGATGTTTGACTATTGAAATATCCTAGCAGGTTAGGTTGATCAGATTTTAGCTTTGTCAACCTGGCCTCTCTGTTATTACAGTAATGGTTTATTTAAATAATTTCAGGTCATTGAATGTAAAAACAAAGTATTTGAAGTAAATACTACTGTAAAGTGTAAAGTGTAAACTGTAGTTTAATAATACTGTAAGTGTAAACACGTTTCTCGCAGCGATAAATCAATATTTTAAATAATAATCATGTGAGAGTAGAACTTTACTGAGAATCGGAGTATAGTATTATAGACCATAGTCTGGCCATGTGTTTCTCAATATTTAAACTACAAATTCAGCTAACTATATTAAGTTAAACATACTGTATAAAATATATTAAATAGCAACTTCGAAATATATATTTCATAGAGCTAGTCAGTGTAACAAATAATGGGAATCTGCTAAATAATTTGTAACAATAAAATACTTCTATAATTCATACTGTACCTTTTTAATACTTGATGGAAATCATCACAAATTTATAGTATGTACGAAGTTGGCTCCATTTTCCTTCGGAAATATTCGAAACATCGCTTCCTCGGAGATTCATATAATGCGAAATGAAAGAAGATTGATGTACATTCGACGTATATATAAACGTAACATGTTAAAAAGAAAGATTACAACAAAAAATAAAAGAATATAAATAATCCGCGGCAATTCAAGTTCTATTCGTGAACTTTTCGTCCCCCCTGTCTTTATTTCCATAAAGCCCGCTCGCAGGCTAATACTCCAAGAATCTTGGAGTATTTGCCTGACACGTGACCAGCGTTTACCAGGGCCTCGCCCGCTTTGGCGGCCATATTAAAAAATCGGGCGGGCAGGCCCTGGGTA